CAGGCATCCCCCAAACTCACCCCCCAAGAGAAGGTGCAGCGGCTCGGCAGACACTCCGCCTCCCTGATGGACATCAAAGAGGTGAGGATGGATTTACGGGTGTGACTGGGCTGCACTGGGCTTGCTGTGAGGGGAACTATCTTGGAACAATGGACAAACACTGTTACTGTTGTAACAACAGGATGTGTTCCTGTTCTCACTACTCTAGCTTGCCCTTTTTGCATTATGGTGGATGCAGTTTGGTTTGATTACAAATACATTCATAAAAGGGCTTGCGGCTACATTAGATGTTACAACATAACACTACCAAATCTCCAACCGAACTGTCGGCAGTATAGTAGCATTGTGGGTAATGTAGGTGCCAGGTTTTGACAAGGAAGAATACGCAGAATAAAAAAGATCTCTGGTTCTGCTGCAACAAGTTTGATTAGGATTCCGACGATGTTATAGGAGGGCTATTCAAAATTGATGGAGTACTCTTAAATTAATTATTTTATTTAATAATATACAATTACATTATTGGCAAAGCAAAGTTAATTTAACTTGTTATGTGGTGCACCGATTGTAACCTGATTGTTCATTATGTCCCTCCAGAGTGCAAAAGTGTACAAAAGATACTCATCAGTAATCCCATCCTCTCACATCGTGAATGAGGTTCAGGAGGTCCAGCCAGGGACAGACGTCTCAGCCCTGGACAGACTCAATGGGATCCAGACTTCCACTGGAGGAGAAGTCCAGAGGTCAACCTTAGTGTTTGGCCGTCCCAGCACCACCAACTCCTCCTCTACCACTGTGGCACCAAAGGTCCAGCTACGCACTCAGCGCACCAGACTTGTGTCTCGGCCAATCAGCATGCCACTGGAACGCCTGCTCACCCCCACCCAGATCAGCGAGAGGAACAACCGTAATTCTGCTGCTAATGATAACACAAACTCTGCTGTGCGGGGCCCCGTCTCTGAAACTATACAGGAGATACCAGAGCCAGAAAAGGCTCGCCAAAGTGGCTCATCCAGGGTTAGCACCTACTACATCACTCCTTTCATTGACACGCAGACGATGCAGAGGAGAACGTGGGACAGGAAGTACAAGCACTATGATGTTACACCAAGGACTGCTATGATTGTGGCCAACCTGCCACCTGCCAGCTCTGGAGTACAGCCTGTTAAGGCAACGATGCCTGTCACAGTTACCCCAGCAGTAACCACTACCTCTGTGGTCCCCACCACAAGTAGTGTGAGCACCATATTCTCTAACAACCCCTACCCAGTGTCAGTGAAGCCTGTGTTGACCTCTAAAAGGGAAAATGATACAGATAACACAGCCAGTGAGCCTAGCAGCTCACCAAACTTTCCGCTAACGCTCAGGGCACCGAGAACTCTGCAGCCTCCTCCTGGAACTTTCTACAAGCCCCCCTGTTTCCATTACCAGCAGAGCTAGGACACTTCCAAACTGGACTACTACTGTTACCACCATCACCACCACCACGACCACCACCTCATCGCCCACCCCCACCAGCCCTACTGAAGTGGTCACACTGTCCCCTGTCCTTACAAGCCCCCCGCAGACACGGCTCCAGACACAGGACTCCACTGACAGTGCCATTGACCCCGGGGTCTCGCCCCCTGCTACCCTTTCGCCCCCCCATTCCCCACCCCCAAGCAGCCCTGACGACCTCTGCCCCAGTGAGTCAAAACCCGTCTACCAAAGACTGCGACCTCGACGGCTGCAGGAGCTTGAACACAGAGAGGCCCATTTTGTCTGATGCCAAAAACCATATTATATCTGTAAATATTAATGTATCTGTGCCATAGTGTATACTGGGGAAAACGTTTTCTATCATACAAGCTGAGAGTGGGAGAGTAGTCCTGTGAAAAGAAACCATGAAAGTGTTATAAGTACTAATATATTGCATGACTACATGCATACATATACATGTTCAAGTAAAAAATATAAACAGTGGTTGGTCTCCCAAACATTCAAAACAAGCAAATACTACAAGTGTGACGGCAACATTGAATGCGTAGTGTCAGGTTTTTAAATAACAAATACATGAATTGTGTATTTTTATATCACAAATTGACATGTCTGTAAAGAATTGTAAACCTATCATTTTCATTGTTTGACTTGAACAGTTAAGTTTATGTTCGATGTTTGATTTGTTACAAAATTATATTTTGTTTTCTCACAATGCACTTAATGCAGGTTCAAATTGTAATGTTGCCTTAGTTAAAAATGTATGAATTTTGTATTTTATCCCACAGTGAACAGATGGAGGTGTTTTAACATGAGTTCAACATTTTTAATTTTTAAATGTGTCCATTTAACCTTTGATTGGTACATCAACTCTCAGTATGTAAACCATATGTATCTGTTTACGTTTTTTATATTCATTCATACATACTGCATGCCTGTCACAGTAATTTGTCTCATGGCATTATTGTGACTATACAGAAGAAAAATGACATGCAACAGTACTTGCTGCAAATTAAAAATGTAGTTGAAACTGTTACTTCTGTTCCACTTGAATTTATCATTCATCAGATCTCCGTTCAGTGCACCTCAGAGAACTAGAGTTATATCTTGAAAATGAAAAAGGTTTTTTTTTTTTCAAGCATATGTTTACTTTCTTATTAATGCTACAACAAATCCTTGTGTCCCTTTTCAAATTGTAACCTGTTGTGTATTTCAAACATGTGTTCAATCTGATTTTTAGCCTCAACTACAGATTATTTTGATTATCTATAGATTTCTTTTAGTTTACAGAATGACAGAAAAGAGTAGAAAAGAAATCCTAGAGCCCAAGGAGACATCTGAATATGACTTTTTTTTGTCTGACCCACCGTCCCAAACCCAAAGGTAATGAGTTTGCAATCATAGCAGAACATTCTCGTGTAAGAGAATCTTAACTATGTTCAGAGTTTTTGCTTGGACAATTATTCAAATAATTTTCTGCACATCAACTAATTCTTTCAGCTCTATCGCAAAGTCTGTTCAGTGCCTCAGAGAACCAGGGTTATATTTGACTATTTTAAAATGTCTTTGTAGCCCTGTGGACACAGGTTTCTATTATATGTATTATTTAAACTAAGTATGACATTGCATCCTATTGTGTATTTCAACCATGAATCCAGTCAGATTGTTTGTTATAATTTATTGTTTGTTTATTGTTATGTATTTGAAAAATCAGAGGAAGAGACATTGTAGCGGCGGAACATGGTATTCACAAAGCTACCGTAGCCACCAGGATACCTACATTTGTACAGTGTTTACCTCAGTTTTAGGGGAGGCTGTATCTGGTGTACACACAGTTCACAGCAGGTTCAAGTGGTTTTAATGGGGTACTGTCGAGGCTTCACATTCTCCCGGCCTAATTGCCCGTGTCACCTGCTCCACCTTGTCGAGCTGCTCAGAGGAGTGAGTCATTTCAGACGTGTGCGACAACAGACGTCTTATCTCTTGAGTGGTAAGCTCCCATGTATCAAAGTCAAAACTCTGATTCATTGTGCAGGGTGACAAACATTTAGGCTCCAATTGTGATCAACCCTGTACCCCCACCTCCAGTATTCCCCTCCACCAGTATTCCTCCTGTCCTCTCCAGCACATATCCCCCCTAATTCTCCCTCAAAATGGATGACTGTTGTCTTTTTTTTCTACCTGCCCATGTTGAGCTGGGAGATTAGAGCAATCAGATTAGGAGTGCGGCTGACCTGCAGGCAGAGGAGAGAGAGTGGGCAGCTAGGATTCATACGGAGCTCTTCTGCCTTGCCTAATATTTTCCAGTAACTTCAGCTTGTTTGTGGACCTGATTCTCTAGATGTCGTACGACTTTTATATCGTCCTATAAGAGGTAAGGATCACTTTTGTTCTTTTGCTGACAAAACAGGATGTGTGCTGTAAGATCTTGTAAGAGCTGACTGGTATATGGTTGCTAATTACTGTTTCAGTTTTTCGAGTGTCTAGATTTAAACATAATGTAATGGTGTAAAAACAGATTCTAGTGGATGCTTTGTAAAATGTTGTTACAGTCGTGGCTTCATGTAGCAGTTACTTAAACATGCGATGAGACATGTTAGTTAAAACCTTTCAACAGGTTTCTGTCAGACTTGTGCAAGGAACTCCTGTCATGTGTAATTACTGTTTGAGTAATAAGATGATTTAAGAGAAGTCAGACACAATGATAGCCCTTACTCTCCTGCCTCTCAGTCTTTGTCCTCGTGTTTATGTCCCTGCATTCTCAGCCTGCAGTAATCTATTGTACATGTCACTCTGAACAAATTACTCTTCGTGTCTGACATCCTCTGAGGTCATCTGCACATAACCTGTGTTTGTGAAAAGGCATTTGAGCTATTTTTTCTCTTGTCAGCATTCAGTTCCAAAATGATTTTGTAACATATAGAAGTCTTCAGCAGGGTGTATGCTTTCAAAGAAGTGGTTTCAAGGATGGTCTCTCCATGGATGTAAGACCACCTTAAAACAAATCCAAGTTAATGCTAAGGCCACATACTTTCAAGTTTTAGTCAAGGTCTGGTCAAAATGAAAAAGCCAGAGGAAAGTCAGCGCATTTCTAGAACAAAAATAAATGCCCGCATTTGTTTCCTGATGGGGAAGTAATAGTTTTAATGATTTTTGCATTGATCAATAGATTGATCTGTAATAGCAGATATGTACCGTTACATTTTTCATAAAAGCACAAGTTTTTTGGGGACAAATGGACCAAAAAAACCCCAACCCTAACCAAAACAACAATGGTTGAACATGTGGAGTAAAATAAATCCAAAAATGTTTTAGAAAAATGGGCAAAAGTCAAGTCAAACACATAAAAATCATCATTAATTTAGTCCAAGACAAGACCCAAGAACCAGGTCTTTCTGACTGCTAGGCTCAATAATGTCCCAAGTCTTTGTGAGAAGCAAACAACTGAGTGTCATCTCTGATGGAGTAGTGTATCTGCAGGTTTGTCACAGTCTGATGACCCCTTCCAGGGGTAAAGCTGCGGAGCAATGAAGACAGGCGCTCAAATCCGCCTGCTACTGTGGAAAAACTGGACTCTCCGCAAGAGACAGAAGGTATTATCACTTGTACATGTGAATGGGGTTTTGTTTCTTACAAAACCTTAGAAACCCTATTCAGTATAATGCAATCCTGTACAATAAGACCACAAACTATTGGATTAGACTGTACAGGTGTTATTGTTTTGCTTCGTGTATATTTCTCTTCAGGTCCGCTTTCTGGTTGAGATCTGCTGGCCGGTGTTGTTATTTATCGGTCTGGTATGGCTGAGGAAGGCCAATCCACTTTACCAACAACATGAATGTAAGAAAAAGGGGGAGAAAATGTGCCTCCTAGACTCTCCTGGAGTTCTTTTCATAGAGAGAATAACACATGTTAAACCCTCTGGTAACTTTTAAAAAATCATTACAAATCACATGTCCTCAAATGGGTTTCTTCAGGTCATTTCCCCAACAAAGCCATGCCTTCAGCAGGGATTCTGCCCTGGATCCAGGGAATCTTCTGCAATGCCAACAACCCCTGTTTCAGATATCCAACCAGAGGAGAGTCTCCAGGTGTCGTCTCCAACTATAACAACTCAGTGTAAGCCTAATCATAGCACCCTTAAACCTTGTAAACTTCCACTGTAGCAGAAACCTCACAAAACTGTTATTTCTTGAGTTGTTCACTGCCAAACAGTAGACATTTAAACCTAAACCTAAAGAAGGAATTTGACTAATGTGTTTTTTGGCTTGTCCTAGTTTGGCACGGTTCTATGTTGATGCCCAGGAGCTGCTGCTCAATGAGACGGAGGTCCAGCAGTTTGGCCGTCTTTGGCGCGAAATGTCGTCCTTCTCAAACTTCATGGACACGTTACGCAACAACCCATTTGTGCTGTCAGGTAAAGGGCAAACATGACAAATGGTTCAGACATTAGCACTTCCCCTGATGGTGAAACAGTTAGTAAAATCTCTTTAATTAGAAGAGAAAAAGACTGTTGACACAAGTCAGCTGTCTTTGTATGTATGCTATCTTGGCCATGATGTAGAGATGGAACCTTTTCGTCTTGTTGTTGTCTGCACATCCTCTTTCTGTTGGTGTTGCGTGTCTTGTGGCCATCATAGCAGCTCCTCACTTTCTCTTTCATTTAAAAAATTCTCTGTCTGACTTTCAGTGTTTCATTTTTATTCTGCTGTAAATCATGTCCTCGGTGTAGTCCAATGCTGGTAGGGTCAAAATTGTATTTAGAGGTTCTAACCTTTCACTATCTCTGCTCTTGACTTTCCGTCTAGGCCGTGGGCTGAAGATAGATGATATTCTGAAGGATGACGAGGTTCTCACGGCCTTCCTTTTGCGAGACGAGGGCCTCTCGGAATCTGTGGTCTACCAGCTCATCAATGCTAAAATACGTCTAGAACAGGTGCAGTTTGGAGGGATGAGTGGGAAAGGTTGCAGCCTAGACTCATATTAGTTCGTCTGGGTTTAATTCAGAACAATATTGAAGAGCTTGCGTATTTTTACATATTTTCCTATGGGTTAAAATTAAAATCAAAAGTCCACTGTATAATCTTTGATGATTATTTGAGACTATCCCACAATAAACCCAATATCACACCTTTTACTTTTGCCCTATATTCCCCAGTTTGCCTATGGTATCCCAGACCTGCAGCTGAAAGACATAGCCTGCAGCCAGGCTCTGCTGGAGCGCTTCATCATCTTCCCCAGTCGCATGGGGCTCCACGGGGTCCGCAACGCCATGTGTGCCCTCACCCAGCAAAGGCTGCAGAAGATAGAGGACATTCTCTATGCTAATCTGGACTTCTTCAAAATCTTCAAACTGGTAAAGTGCTGTCAGATTGATAAATAAACAGTGCGTCATTCGTTCTTTGTTATATTGATATTATAGATTGGTGTTTCTATCTTTCCAATATTATCTTGTTTTTCTGATGACCTTTATTGCTTCCTGTAGGAATGTCAACATTATTCCTTACATCAATCCTTTCTCCCATTTATAGTCCTTTTGTCTTTTGCTCGGTTATATTAACTGGCATTGTTATTTTGGAAATGAGTCATCATCATTTCCACTAAAAGATCCTCTGAAGGCTGCGCTTGTTGGAAAAATGATGTCCCTCTTCCTGGCAGTGAAGGCCATAGAGGCAACTGGTGTTCTCATTTACACTAAAGTCACTCATTTCGCTGAAATGAAGTAGTTATTTTACTTATGTTATAACGCTATTCAACTTTAAGGTTGTGCTAGGTGCCAGCTAGCCAGCAGGGATGCATGTGGTTCCAGACTTATTGTTGTCCATCAGACCATCTTAAATGATAAGGATGGTTATTCTATATTTATTATTGTCAACAATTCCATAAAAAGACCACAAACAGGGCACCCTGGTAGGTCATCTGGTAGAGTGCATAAAATGGATCAAGGCTGAGTCCTTACCGCACCGGCCCAGATTCGAGTCTTGGTGGCCCCGGGCCCTTTGCTGCATGTCATCCCCTGCCTCTCCAGTCTCTCTCTACTGTAGACCAAAGCCAACAATGTGTTTTTCCGTCTCTCAATAGTTTTGGACTTCCCTACTCTGCCTGTAGCACTCACACTCACTCACATATGTAAACATTTGAAAATATACCTACAACAACTGGGTACTGTTGTTTTTAGCAAATATTACTTTAAGAGGGGTAAAAAAAAAGTTGAAAACTGTTTTCAGTGGTGAATTAATACAGATTTGGTGCCCTAGTTAATATTTACAGCAGCAGCCAGAGTGGTGTATGTGGGATTGAGTCAAACTACACTACAGTGTGTGTGTTCATGGTAATGTGTCGATGTCACCCAGTGCAACAGTGTGATTCAGTGATGTGTTTTTAATGGAACAATGGAGCTCTATGGCACAGAGCCATAAGATATGTCAGGTTTGTTTGGATACAAAGACAGTTAGTAGGATCAATTCATTATTGGTTTTGGTCTTTTTAAAAGGATTCTTAACCATAAGAAAACTATGAAACATCACCAGACTTATCCTTTAAAGACACACTTTGTCACCAGGTAAATTTAGTGGAAAATAGTTACATTACCAAAGTTAACATGGTGATATTGTTTCTGCAGGATAACCATAACAGCTCTAGCTAACATTCTGGATTAATATTAAATGTGCGTCCTCGTGATTGCAAATGTGACGGTACTGCTTCATGCTCAGAATTGTGAATTTTTGCTGTGAATTGGGGCGTGATGTCAGATGGCTCCATATTGTAGCTTGCAGGTAGGTGACTCTGCCAGACCTGGTATCCTCAGTCACTGGCTTTATTTAGGGTTTCAGAATGAACCATGGGCTCTGTTTCAAACCATTTACACATGTATTTATGGAAAGCAAGAAACAGGGAGGGGGCTTAACAAGTCACCATTCCTCCTTCTCATGAAAGAAAAAGCTATTGTTATTAATTTGAATGTATTTGTGAAGTGATGTATCTCAGATGTATCTCAGCACATTTGACTGGAGGAATAAATAAAATAAATGTAGCATTAAGAGAAAGCAGATACACCAACAAACTGTACTTTATTTTTTCCCCCTTGACACCTTCCAATTTCTTCTATATGTGTGTTTGGGTTCAACCTGAGTGAGTCAGGTGACTGGCTCAGGGTGTTGGCAAGGCCTTAACCCTCTTGGCCTGTTTCTTTAATGGGCTTAGCTAGACCCCGCCTACAGCCTGTGAGGTATTCTGTAAGATGTGATGCTGTGTCTCGTATAAATACATTACCAACATGTGCCAGTCTAAAGACTAAAGTCAACATAGCTGCCAGCACACCTGGTCATGTGGTTTATAGAAACGGTAGGACTGAAACAGTGAGGAGCATGACAGGGTTGCAGAGTCTTGCATTACTTCTTTCTTGAGGAGACATCAAAGATTAGGAATCTGAGTATTTGAGAAGCTGGAGCGGAGTAGCATTGGTGCAGATGTTGGATGAATGGACTAAATGACAAATGACTATCAACCTAATCCACATGTTGATCATTTCATTAGCTTGACCAGAATTTTTTTTAATTTGTTTAATTATATATATATATATATGTATTTTTTTTTCTCTTCTCTTTTGGTAACATTTGATGATCGCTAACAAAACTCTATTGTCTGAGATTATTTTCTCTGTATGTTTTCTTTACCTGCAATAAATATACATTACTTAAACCTGTTTATCCTTTACAGGGTCAAAGGGGGGCTGGAACATATATAAAATTAGTTATCATATAAAATATATTGCATTGAAAGAATGCAAAAAAATTACATATCCATGACTAAATAAGCAACAGCAAAAACATCTTCAGGTCTTATATAAGTGTTAAACTCTCAAAAGCTGCTTCATCAGGACTGTGTAGGTGCGATTTGATCGGATTGACCAAACAACCTACCTACTGATTTAAATGCTGCCAAATTCTGATTGGTACACATAAGTACAGTACATCATCTTTTCCCAACTGTGCCCCGCCCACTTTGAACCGTTCTACCTTTGGCAGAAAAAGTTTGTGTAGGAGCCCACAACACGCTGATTAAGAAATATGTTTTCAGGGCCGTTAAAGCAAAGCAGATAGTCAAGTCAGTTTTAATTATACTGCCCAATATCACAAATTTGCAATTTGCACAGCTAACGACACCCTTGGTACGGTGGACGAAAAACTCCCTAAATACAGTATTCGTCATCTTGAGTGCGTATAAACATTTTGTATACAATATATACTGAACGTGGACAACCACAACATAGTAGCCACTCGTGTAGGTGCAGAATTCAACTCTGAGGTGTTTTTGAGGCTGTAGTTTGCAATATTGTTTGATTGAATTGAATGAGTTGTTCCACCTCTTTTGTTTACTGTGCAAATTTATATAACATTTTCAGTGAATATCAGAGAACTATGACCAACAATCAGTATCTTATACTGACTTATACTGTACTCATATAACTCACATGTACAGTACTTGTATTAATAGTGAAGCAGCATCGTATTGGTGATCTTTACCACATTGACCTCTGCACTGTAACAGCTTTCGCTCCTGACTCCCTTCTCCCATCCACCTCTCAACAGCCTCTCCTCCCCTTTCCTCGCTTTCTCTCTTTCCCCTGCACCGCCTCCCTCCTTCCTTAGTTCATTGAAATGCGAGCGCGAGGAATGCGAGAGGAAGGATATCACATGTGCGTGTTTGTCTTTACATTCAGGGTTTCCTTAGCCCTCAGCACTCTTGCCCTGACCAGGCATTTTCTAGCACCTACTGCTAATGGTTCCTCAAGACGTCATTGGAGGAGGAGGAAGTGAGGGGAATAAGTGAGTTTCCATAATGAACAATGGATTTGAAGTTTGACACAGGTTCAGTTCCTCCGTGAACAGACACAGTAATAAAAACCAATAAATAAAGACCCAAAGTGTGTGACAAAAACAGGAAGGTTGGTTTTCCCCAGCAGGTTACTAGTTGCACTGCCTGTAAAGTCTGGGTAAAGAACACATGCATAAAATGGTTTCCTCTAAATTGCATTTCTTGGAAGTACTCAGTTTCCATCAGGTTGCATTGTAATGGTTTCTTGCTAGATATGAATGTGTTCATCTGTCTGAGGTTATCACGGGACATGACTTAAAAAGAGCAGCAAAGGTTTTGCTGCAACAGAACAAAAAGCAAATTGTGTTTAATCTGTTTTTTTTTCATGTGTATTCATCTGTTGTTCACTTGACTGATGCATCTTGTGACTTTGTCTCCCCAGATGCCTCAGGTTATGGACAGCAGCTCAGAGGGGATTGACCTGCACTTCTGGGGTCGGGTTCTTAAAGAGGCGTCGGAGAAGATCCAAGTTGTAAGTGATCCAAAGCCATCAATCCTTTTTCAGCCCTGCTCCTCTCCTCTCTTCTCCTTTTCGGTCCTGCAGGATCAGAGGCACCGGTATTTTTAGCCCTGCGGGAAACTCGCCTCTTCCGCTGTTCACTGTTTGAGAATCGCTCACAGAGGAGGTCGAGGGATGGGCTCAACAATGGGGGGTGTACGTGTGTCTGTGTGTGTGTGTGTGTGTGTATCAGCACTTGTACAGTACACCTACATGAGTACTGCATAAGTGCTGATATGTCTTGGTAGGCTGAGGGTGTGTGTACTGTGTGTCTTTGTATGATTGTGTTTGTGTGTGTGTGTGTGTGTGTGTGTGTGTGTGTGCATGTATCACCTTATTTATACAAGCATACATTTGAAGTTCAAATCAGAATTCATTAGAACAGAATAGAATATTGAAGATGAGAATACAGTAGTTATTGTGGAGAGATAAAAAAGGGACTTCCTGTTCCTGTTGCCTCAAAAGTTGAGGTTCAAAGGTAATTTCATGTAGTTACTCTCTCCAGCCCTCTGTTTTGGCTTTGTTGGTCGTGAGACAATCAGCTGATCACTAATTGGCAATAAAATGTTAGCTTACAGCTGGAAGCTCAGATCAGACAGCTAAACATTTACTGCGCTGGCAGGAAAAATATGTTGTTGGATTGTAATTTAATGTAGTTATTCTACAGCGCTCTTTTATGGCTTTGTTACATGAACAGAAATGTGCCCTTACCTTCATGAGTCAAACAGCTGATGAATATTATTGGCAATAAAACGGTAACAGCATGGAAGCTCAGATCAGCAGCTAAGCTTCGCATTTTACTGCCTTGGTGGAAAACATGTACTGTATTTCTTTTTACTGCTACAGGTGATATATAACAAGACCGTGTGCCTATCAAGTCACCAAAAATGAATACTTTCCGAATTTGCATTACAAAAAACGTGTTTTTTTGGATAGTGCTTCACCACTGTGCACACAAATGTGTAATTTGTACTTTCACATGCTAAATGCCCATTAAAAACGTTGCACTGTTTTATCACAAGCGGAAATTATGACAATCAATACTACTTTGTGTTTCTATTGTATTTTTTAAAAATTCAAAATGACATTAGATAATGACATAGGTAAGATTTGCATGCTCCTCACCAGCCAATGCCTTTGTGAACTTCATGTATTATGTGGTTTATAATGGAATTATGCAATTCGCATCCCTCACCACTAGATGTTACTAAAACTTACACACTGAACCTTTAAGTAAAAGATTAATTCTTCCACTACTGTAGGAGGTGATGATAGGAATCTTTCACTATTTCCTGACTTGTTATAGACCAAATGATTATTGAATAATCAGCGTATTCAATTCTGTAATGAAAATAATAATTGCAGCCCCATTTCTTCAACTGTTCGTGGAATTGGAGATGATGAAATTTCCATTTGTTCTGAGAACTTTAAGGACTTCTTGTCCATGTTAGACAATATAGAAGAGAAGAGAATAAAACAGATAATAGAAGAGAAGAAATAAAAACCTTTATTTCACACTCAAAACACTTTGAGTAACAGGTGTGCTGAGTTCAGATCATTAAAACAAACGATAAAATATTAATAAGTTGAATATATAATATAATTATGGAACTGAATATGAAATGAGAAAGTAGTAGAAGAGAATAGAACTAAAGTATATTTACACCATTTCAAATGTCCAGCGTGAACCCTTTTAACGTTTATTGCATCACTACCAACTGGTGTAGTAGCATACTAATTCAAACGTACTCACACGTGCGCACATAGACAGACGAACAGACAGAGTGACTGGGATTGTGTTGTGTGTTACGGCACGTTCACAGTATGTCCCAGGGGCTAGTGTATCCCATCATCACCTTAGCCAGGCTGAGGTAGACAGAGAGAGGGAGAGACATTCCTTTGAGGTGACACATCCTGTAGGTGGGACTTTCGTATCACCGTGGTGACAGGAAGGCGAGCCAAATGCTCTCATTACCCACCAACCCTTCCTTCAGTTTAGTGAGTGGGTGTTTGTGTGAAATGATAAATAATAAAAGGGAGGAAAAGGGAGTGAGAGTGAAATAAATCAGGGGTGTGTTTTAGTGTGTGTGTGTGTGTGTTTGTGCATGTTCACATGTAAAAGTTGGCTCGAGTGGGGGACATAGAAAAGCAATGAGTCACTGACCCATTAACCCAGTTTGATTATCAGTGTTGCAATATAGTCTACATTTAAAACTGTAAGGGGCTAATAATGAAGTCTTATGAACAAATATTCATTTCATAAGAACTCAACTCCGCCTAAAATCTGATCCATTATGACATCTACAGATTTGAAACAGCAGTTTCTCAAGTTTCAGGTTGATTTCGTTGGTATCCTGACTAACAGAACAACGGTAACATAAAACGAAATGAAATTATTGGCAGCCTCTTCCCTATTTCTTTAGAAAGGAAATGGTACGCACCGGGGAGAAATGCGCTTGGATGAAGCTATTTCTGTTCCATCAATTGGAGGATATTTATGTTCATATTCATGTGAGGAGAAGCGTCGGTCCAACATGTTTGCTTATCTTTCAAACTATTGTTTTCTAGTGATCGTTTATGTGATGCAACTCGCACAGTATGAATGAATATGAAGGACATAAATATCCCTGCCTTGTAAATAATTATCTGACAAAAGGTCAAATAGCTCAAAGCCAATTATTTACACTTGCTGTGCAATACTCAACATTCATTTGTGCTGTTGGAGGCAGGATGATATTTGGCCCTGGTTGGCAACACTGATGACCAGACATGAGGAAAGAATATGAAAGTTAAGGTAACAACTAGTCTGGGTACCCCTGAGAGGGGCATGCGACCTAGCTGGTGTGGTTGAGTGTGCTGTTCTCAAGACTTATACATAAAAATAGTGTTTAATGTTAATTAGCTAATTTTAGCTCTCTTTCATCTGGCCCTGTGTTTGACTTTTACAGCTGATGGCACGGGAGAGCTCTCAGGAACTCATGAAGGCGGTTTCCTCTCTGTTTCAACCCGGGGGTCCCTCCTCGTTCACCCTGCTGATGTCCAGCGTGTCGAACCTCTTCTGTGGGTACCCAGAGGGAGGCGGCTCCAGGGTCCTGTCCTTCAACTGGTATGAGGACAACAACTACAAGGTGTTCCTGGGGGTCAATGGCACCAAGAGCCACAACTATGTCTATGACGACTCGACGAGTAAGTGAGGAGGTGTTGAATTGTCAAAGTGTCAATTCTAGGAAATTACTGTACTTTCCCTTTTACCTTAAGGATAAGAGTTGCATCAAGAATAAGATATGATGTTCCTTTATTGATCCCTGTAGGGGGATTTCAGATGTATCTGAATTTTCAGTACAAATATGTGTTACGTGTTTTATAATGATTTTGTTGTTGTTTTAAATCTAATTTTAGTTTAGCCATTGTTTTATTTCTGTACATTTCTTGTTTTTAAGTTTTTTGGTTGTAAACACCTTCGGTCTGACCAGCACCAGACCCTTTAAAAAAAAATCCACTTATTTATTATGTTTTATTGTTCATTAAACTGCAGCTTTGGAAGACTACTGCCAAACTTTACAAAGAGAAAGCAAAAATGTTTTTCCAAAGATTTAATGTTTTTGTTTTTGATTGTTTGTTTCTGCAATGATCCAAACTTATTTAATTTTTTTCCCCAAGCTGTGAGCAGCTCCTCTACTCCTGTTGTGCACTGCATTCTGAACAAAAGCACACTCAAATATCTATCAAATTTAGTATGCATACTGGCCAGCTTTGAATATTTAATTTTCTGTTTTCAGCACTTTATATTCAAAATCTGTTTAGTAGTTTTGAGTTTGCCATATACAAGTCTTGAAATTTCCACTATAAAGCTGTTGGATAAACAGTGGGTGACTTATTTAGCCTACGTGACTGTATAACTTAATTGATAGCATCTGAATGGTACCCAGGTCTGTGTGTTCTGTGTCATTGAATATGATATTTGATGTCTCTCTCTTTTGTTTTCCCCTTATATATCTCTTTTCTTTTGCAATTCTTCCTCCCTTAGCTCCCTTCTGCAACGCCATGATGCAGACCCTGGAGTCCAACCCTGTCACAAAAATTGTGTGGAATTCGGTCAAGCCCCTGCTGATGGGAAAGATCCTGTATACCCCCGAATCCCCTGCGGTCCGCAAGATATTAAAGAGTGTAAGAGAGACCACATCCAGCCCGACCCCTCACCTCTATCTCTACTCACTTTTTCCTCCCCTTCTCCATTTCTTTCACCACTCTCGGTATCTGTTTATATGTGTCCAAACTCCCACCCTTCTTAGGAATGAGCTGACTACCGAAGCAAAGTACGGCAGAGGGATAGGGAGGCTGTCTACTGCAGTGTGAGGGAAAGGAAGAGGAGGGGAGAATTAAATAGTAAATTGAATGTGAGGGTGCAGCAATGAAAGGGAAAACAGAATGTTTTTCAGTCTGTCACATCTCATTCAGTGGAGGAGTTTTGTTAATGAGAATTTAGCAACCTGCTCAGGAAAAGAAAATGACCTAATGTTTTATTACATATGTTGTTTGAAGGGTATTGCAGTTTACAGCGTAGGTAAATTACATTTTCATGTTTCATGGATCTCATTGATTATTATTTTATACAAAGTAATATAATAATAATATAAAGTATTGAGTAAAAGAATAATTTTCCTAAATAAAGCAAGAGAATATTAGCACACATCAACAGAGTTATATGTCGATTGTGCTTCTTCACTGCTTGTGTGCTAATTTACATCAATCTGCATTGACCTGATATAGTGTTTATTTGTCCTTGTGTGTGTGTGTGTGTGTGTTGCAGGCCAACACAACATTCGAGGAGTTAGAGAGGTTGAAGAACATGGCCAAGGCCTGGGAAGAGTTGGGCCCACAGCTCTGGGCTTTCTTCCACAACAGTGTGCAGATGAACATGATCAGGGTATAAATACAGCACATACATTTTAGTTGACAATTTTATAGTATGTTAGAGGTTGCACGCTTCTGGAGCAACTAGGCATTAAGTGTCTTGCTCATGGACACATCATGGACACATTGGTGGATGTGTCGCAGTGGGGAATTGAACCCGGGTCTCTCACACCAAAGGCATGTGTCTCATCCATTGCCCCATCACACACCTCACACACACACAGACACAGATACTCTCGTAGTTGTACACAATTTTGTGCACACCTGCAAACTCTAATTTTCATTGAATATTAATGCACTATAAATGTACAACCAAAGCCACCATCAGTACATTTGAAAGATTTTGTACAAGGGAACTGTGGAATTATCCTTCATTACAAAATAACCATTGTTAGAGGCAACCAATAGTAAGCAGAGGTGTGGACACCAACCCATAAGATGGATTTAAGTCAAATTCGAGCCACACATTTGATAAACTTCACATCAATTTGAGCCGTTTGCGTGAAAATCTTGACACCCTCCCCAAGCCCAAAACAAAATAATCTTTGGAGTGCAGTGTTTTTAAAGAATGCAGACAAACTACCCAGCTAGCTGGTTGCACTCACCATGTCCGGTGACTCATCCATTCAGGATGTTGAGTTTGCCAACACCAGCTTCCAGTCAATCGGCATTCAGCTTGAGCATGCAATACTCCTCTCAAATGTGGGGTCTGACATTTTGAAATTGCAATAAATTCTGTGAAAATTAATTGTGTTTATGACTTTAAACCCGAAGTTGGTCATCATGATGATTTAGGAGCACTTTTCATATTGCCTAATTTACTATGCAGCGAACTAAATGGCACTTCTTCTTGCATGTGTTATATGTTTATATTACATACAGCAACTATACAACTATTTCAATCACTGCAGGACACTCTGAGAAACCCAACAGTGATGCGCTTCATGGACGACAGTCTGGGGGGCACTGACTTTACCACGAAGGACATTCTGAACTTCTTAAACAATGGTCCAGAAGAAGGAAGGGAGACAGGCATGCCCAACTTTGACTGGAGGAACATTTTTAACATCACCGACCAGATTATACGCATGTTCAACCAGTATGGAGAGGTAAGAAACTCAAATTTCTCTTTTACATCAGAATCCTATTTTCCCCTATTGAGAAAGAACATGCCTATTCTTCACTTTGCTAAATGTTGCACATTCCCAGGACTAGGTGTTCAGCCTTTTGGAGATCAACTCTCAGTTCTCCAGACAGGTGCATCAGTCTTCCAGGTCTGCTCCCAGGAGATTGCAGCCAGGCCCTTTTGAAACGGAGCAGGCCACTTAGCACGGCTATAGAGCCGCTCTCCCGTCCAGTAGGCTGAAAGGTGGGGAGAACAAGCCTGCTGTCACCTCCCTCCGTTGCTTCCATTGTGGAGCCAGTGATAAAGTGCAGAGTAGGCGGGAGTGAGTCACCCCACTATGAGCTCAGCGCTGTTTTAGTGTATGGCCCCTCATTGAAACAGACCCTTGTGGCTGCGAAATAAAAGAGGGCAAATCATTCTGTCCATCCTTCACGCCTTCCCCTCTCTCCTCCCTCGTCTGATTTAAAGGGGGCAGGGGTTGCAGTTTTGCCTATCAGCGCAGCCATCTCAATCTGTCCTTTGTCTTCAAGTTCAGCATCGAGACCCTTCAGGGCCCCGCAAACAAACCCAGGCTGTTTAGCCAATTAGATATAGCTGTCAGCTAGCATGGGGCCACAGGATAGCTGTTGCAGTTAGCATTAAGTCCTCACACTCTGTGAGGGGTATGTTTCTCACACTGAAATCCCATTGGAACATGTGTATCAGTGAGGGTCTCTCTTCTCAGCCCATCTCTCAGTGAACATTATTGTGTTTTAAATGTATGGTCCCGTAAAGATGAATGGAAAGTGGTGTCTCGTCTTTCTTTGAGTGCTCTCAGGCTATTGTACAGTAATGTGAATGGAGACATTAGACACGGTGTACACAGGGGTGGGGTGGGGGGTTAGAGAGCAGCGTGTTTGTGTATGTGTGTGTGTGTGTGTGTGTGTAGGGTGGGAGTTTCACATGGCAATTACGCCTGTTTCATATAGAGAGAGAGAGCGTGCATGTGAGAAAGTGCGTGAGAATGTTGTCTCTGTAGCACAATTGTCTGTGTGTAGGTATATGCTTAGATTACGTGTGTATGTTTCTGCATGTGTGAGTGCATGCTTTTGCTTCCCGGCATGCACGTGCACGTGTTTGTGTCTGTTGCTGCAGGATGAACGTAGTCGCTCAGACTCTCCCATGTCATCAGATTGCCTCAGTGAAAGATGGTTCTCATTAGAGCGAATGGAAATTCACATAAGTACACAGTCTTCAGGGGCAGGGTATTGTTTGAAATGTTTTGGGTGCCAGTACAATACATAAATGCATTTTTTTTGTTATCCTATTACCCTAGTTTGAGGAATATAAACAATGATCCATATAAGAACTTTGGTTAATTAAAATAGTCTAAAATGAGTTTCAAATGTGTGATTTAGTTCAGGAAATCTGATGAAAAACACAAGACTAAAAATCTGCACATGCAACATCCAAACATGCAATGCTTCATCAGTTGTTTCCACATGGAGGAAAAGCAACATGTACCTAATCCAATATATAATCAAATTACACCCGGTCACACACTGACACACGCACCTTCATTATTTCATCTTGGCTCAAACAGCATCTGCAAGATCATAGCAGTTCAAAGGGCATTCTTAATACATGAATATCAGTATACATGCAACACCGTTTTCTCTCTCTCTCTCTCTGTCTGATTATAGTGCATCAATCTGGATAAGTTTGTGGCTTACACGGATGAGTCCCAGATGACCCGTCAGGCCTTGTACCTACTGGAGGAGAACAAGTTTTGGGCCGGCGTGGTCTTCATGGACATGTTTCCCTGGACCGCAAGTGTACCCTCGCATGTCAAGTACAAGATCCGCATGGACATTGACGCCGTGGAGCGCACCAACAAGATCAAAGACAGGTCAGTAGCCGCTGTGCTTAGTGATTTAATTTACATTACATTTTAGTGATGTTTTGTCATAAGGACCGCGCAACCCTTTTTGCTGGTGACCCCCAAAATAAAGCGTCTTCTTCCGACTCCTTATCACAAGTTGTATATATCATGATTTAAGAGAATTTCCACCAAAGAGTTTTTTCCCCCTCTTCTAACCTCAGATTGTTTCATTTGAGTAATTGTTTGTTTTTTTCCTGTCCAGTTAATTGTACTGTGACCACCCAGATTTATCTTGCAGCCCCTTGGACATTTACTGCTGCCCAGTCCTCTAAAGCCTATGGTTTCCAAACCAGTGGTGGAAGCTAATTTATTGCACACAAGATTTGGGTATTTATGTTTAATTAGAAAAAAAGGCAAATGAATGTTCCAGCACATTTCATTGTACATTCATTGTACACAGGATTAACCAGTAACTTTAAACTACTAAATCACTCTCATTTTTTCATGTTGTTACCGTCGTATAAATGAGGCAGTTTATATTGATTTGTCACAAAAGAAAAACCCATCTAGTATGCTTCAATGTCTCTTGTTAATTCCATTTTAACTCAACACCTGCCCTTTCATGCATGTGAGGCTCTCACATACATTTTCCTCTCCCTGTGATCTCCCATTCATAAACAGACAGTATGTCAATAGCCCCTGGGGTGAACAAACAGTTTTAGCTGTTTACAGAGCACCAACACGCTGTAATTAGACCCAGTGGGTGTCCTGCCTCTATACAATTGAATAATCAGATTGAAAGAGGGCTTTGCCTCAGACTTATCCGCTTAAGTACAAGCAGTGTACATGTGGTGTGTGTGTGGCTTTAGAGATTTTGGCTTTGGTATGTTTTATTATTACAACGTTTTGAATGGATGGACAATTACATACAGCATAAAAATGCTTAAATAAATGGTTTGTTTAACCGCGATAAATGATCTTGTAGCCAATTTTTAACTAGCGGCCACCACTGTCATTCACTCTCTTTTCCTCTGTCAGGTACTGGGACCCTGGCCCCAGAGCAGACCCAATGGAGGACCAGAAGTACATCTGGGGAGGCTTTGCCTATCTGCAGGACATGATTGAACACGGCATCATCAAGCTTCACACAGGCAACGACTGGCCGCTCGGGGTCTACGTCCAGCAGATGCCATATCCGTGCTATGTAGACGACCTGTGAGTAAACCAGTCACTTCATGTAGAAGGAGATTACTTACATGGTGGATTATCCAAGAAATGCTTTCATGACCGCGTATACAGAATACACTCAGCATGGATGACCCAAAATTTAACAACATTTTTGCCACGGCCACAATTAAACAAGGCAGTGTAGTGGTACTTTGTACTGATATGCACCCTTTTTTGTTTGGATATTAGTTATTAAGTAAATGTCTGTATTCTGAGCACAATTGTGCATGCACTGTGAAACTGTCTGTGTATGTGTGCTATAGTTTAGTGAAACATGTATTGATTGACTCACTGCTCAACTGCTTGACTGATTTGTTGGTTGATTGATTGTGCGAGTGAAGGAATTTCAGTCAATCTGTCAAAATGCCAGCCCAATCAAGACACATCAGTGAATCGAAACAGAACTTAACATGCAAACAAAATCGTTACGGTTTTGTCTTGCACAAGTCACACATGTTAAAGCTGCTATGTGCAGAATTTTTATGTGATTACAGCTTAATCCAAGTGAAAATAGCTGCAGCCTATGTGTTGTTTTCAGCTGATCAGTGTCTACAGGTTGGATTTCTTGGGGAAGTGGGGTAGGTAGCAGCATAAATTGCTGTCTGTCAAAATGTGAATATTACCACTGTGTAGCACCGAAGCCTGAAATTTTCAAATCCTACGAATGGTGGCTTTAAGTTTGCTCCCTTAAACCCACCTTTTTCAGAAATCTTCATACTAAAGAGACCAGCAGTAACTGAAATTATTGAGATATTCCTGTATAGTTATTTAGAAAATAACAGTAGGCCATCAAAAACAGATTATCCATGGGTTTAATAAGGTTTCTCAGTCCAGTTTTGGGGTCTCCGCCTTACTCACCCTCCTCTTCCTCCTCGCTCCTCTCTTCTCCTCCAGCTTCATGATCACATTGAACCGGTGCTTCCCCTTGTTCATGGTGCTGGCCTGGATCTACTCTGTGTCCATGACTGTGAAGGGCATTGTACTGGAGAAGGAGCTGCGCCTCAAGGAGACCCTCAAAGCCATGGGGGTCGACAACGGAGTCATTTGGTACACGTGTTTCATTGACAGCTTCATCATGATGACTACAAGCACGGCGCTGCTCACCTCCATCATCATGGTGAGAAAACAGAGGGAGTAGGACAGAGAAGGAGGCCATGTTGACTGAAAAACTAGGGTCACGTTTTGTTTGCCGTTTTGGAGGCTTAATGTTTTGTAGCATGTAATGGTGCCCTCTTGTGGCCAATTTTTAAAAAGCTCTACTTATGGAGAAAAATGTTTTACTCAGCCAATGATTGAACTGGCTCTGTGTTTGTTTACAGTTGTGTTTTGATGTGGAAGCCCACAGTATAATCACAATACATCTTTTTTTTTCTCTTAGGGCGGAAAGGTGCTGAATTACAGCAACCCCATCCTTGTCTTCTTTTTCCTGCTGACTTTTACTGTCGCCACCATCATGCAGTGTTTCCTGATGAGTGTGTTCTTCAACAAGGCCAACCTGGCAGCTGCCTGCAGCGGCATCATATACTTCACCCTCTATCTGCCGCATATCCTCTGCTTTGCCTGGCAGGACCGCATCACCAGGAACATGAAGTTGGCTGCTGTATGTCAATTTTTTTGTGCAACATTTTTTTTTTTACAAATACAGAAAAATGCACAGATACTGTTTAAGCACAAGATTTGTGTAGTATAAAAAACAATGTCATGTTTTTAAGGGAGATCACACATTGTAAAACATCATTATAAAACAAACTTTCATCAAAATTCAAAACAGGCAGTAAGTTTAAAGGTGCGATAGAATACTGATTTTCAAGTTATATACTTGTATTTAGGTTTTCTACTACAAAATGTTTACATGCCTTAATGTTCAAAAAATACATTAATGTCTGTTTTTCCCTCTAATATCCCCCGGCTGTTATGCCTCAACTTTTGGATTTACAGAGTTTGTCTATTATAGTTACTTTAGCCGCTAACTACTAACAGCAGCTGAAGGACGTACGGCCTGAAGTGGAATGTGTTTCCCACCTGGTGTAGAGAACGGGCGGTGGACCCAGTAACCTGCCCGGTGACTATGGTTTCTCTGCTTGCCTTTCCCCATCCACACTCAAGGTGTATGTGGCTGCCATGGCAGCGTTCCACACCCCTCTGAGGGATGGGCCTCTGGGGAGGCTTCCACTGGTCGTGCGCTTCCTCCGTGGAGCCCGGAGGATGAGACCCGTGACTCGTTACAGGGTTCCCACTTGGGACCTGGCAGTGGTTCTTGAAGCGTTGGCTGAGGCCCTCTTCGAACCCCTGGAGCCGGCTGAGGCCAAGCACCTGACCCTTAAGATGGCCTTTCTCCTCGCTATCACCTCTCTGAGGAGGGTGGAGGATCTCCAGGCACTTTCGGTTTCTCCTCAATGCCTGGAATTTGCCCCGGGGAGGTTCAGAGCCATCCTGCACCCCTGTCCGGGCTATGTCCAGGTTCCATCCAGGTTGGCAGGTTCTACGGTGCTGCAGGTGTTTCATCCCCCACCTCGTGTGACGGCGGAGGACGGGAGACTTCATCTGCTCTGCCCTGTCAGAGCACTGAGTATTTACACTCTGAGGTCCTCCCGGTGGAGGAAAGCAGACCAGTTGCTGGTGTGTTTCGGGTCCCCCAAGGCTGGGCTCCCCGCTAAACACACGATCAGCAACTGGATCGTTCAGACTATTTCCCTGGCCTATCAGGTGTGCGGGTTACCTTCACCTATGGACGTAAGGGCGCACTCTACTCGAGGCATGGCGGCCTCTAGGGCCCTCCTCGCAGTGGCTTCGCTCCAGGATTTGTGTGAGGCAGCTGGCTGGGCCACTCCTCAGTTTTACAGTCTGGACCTTCCTTCTGCACCCGGCACCCGTGCGCTCTCCTCTTAGTCGTGCCTACGGGTTACTGCACGCTGGGGGGCAGGCGGAGGCTTCGGCGTGGAATAGTGGGTATTCTCATCCCCATAGTGTCGTCACCGACGCAGTTCGAGTTCCCTCGAAGGGGAACGTCTCCGGTTACATATGTAACCCTTGTTCCCCGAGAAGGGAACGAGACACTGCGTCGGTCCGCCACACCTCACCCCGCCTGGAGTGCCTTGCTTCATAGCAAAGAGCTAATGTGTCCGGTGTGCCGGCGTGCTTATATACGCCTCCATTTACGCCGTCACACGCTACCATTCTAGCAACGACAGTAGGATTGGAGAAGTTTCATTTATGATTTCAGCCCTCAGGCTATAGAATTGAAGTGTTTTTCATATTTAGATTTAGACTATTTTTGGACTTTATGTGTCCAAAAAATACGGAGCCAGGGTGGGTTAATAAACAAAAAAAAGAGACAAAAAATCCTAGATTAAAGTGTCAAATTTACATGAACAAAAATCAGAAATTCCCTGAAATATCAAGTCACAAGTGAATGTGGGCTTAACTCAACTTAACCTATTTCCTCACTGCTAAATCTGATTGTGAAGTCTAATATACAGTAATTTCCCACTGGATGCATAACACATGGCAGACGTGTGGTGTTGCAGCCTTACAAAGTGAAGCGATGTGGTTACTTGAAAAAAACAACCTATTTTTCAGAGAGTTTCTATCATACAATGTTAACTTGTAGATTTTTGATTATTAGTTTCTCGTAAATCTACCACAGTAATCTTGAAAATTCTTTCCCCCTCTCCACTGGCTCCAATTTTTTATTACAATGGACACAATGTGCAGTTGTATCTTTACATCTTAATGATATTACACATAAATGAAACATCCATAAAATACGTAATAAAGAATTAGCCTACAATAAGAACACTGTCAAGATAATTACAAATTTACTGCGATGCCAACAAGCCTCCCGGGCTTTGTCGGCTGCCACGATATTAGATTTAGCTGTTAAGGTGTCTTTAAACTCATATCCTGGCACTATCAACGTGCATTCTTCTGGGGAAAATACGGGGCATGCGCCGTTGCGAAGAACTCTGTCTGCACGGCCGAACACGCCCCTTTATGTGAACGTGCACCAACTCCAATTAAGTTAACATGGGGTTAACACCGACTCAACTAACCAACATCTTATTCAGCGTCATAGTACCATTTAACACTAGTGCAGGCGGTCAGAGTTTGTCAAACCTGAGTTTGCTTGATAACACAGAGTTAACTCTGAGTAGGTTGAACTCCCTTCGTAGTACAGGCCACAGTCTGAATGAATAGGGAGAGAAAGCCAAAACTGCACTTTCACTTGTCACCAGGACATAAAAGCTGCATGTACAGAATCACCAGTAAAATCTGAAATAATTGCTAAAAAAGTTTGAAGACTTTTCCCCACTGGTTTTACTTCTACTATGCATGTGTGTTAGTAGTGATGCATGCGTAGTAGACCCTTATGTCAGTGGAACCACACTGTTGGCTTAATATTTTTCCACCTTGGCTGTTAAAAGCAGACAATTGGCTTTCTAGAGGGAGGGGCGGGATAATCTATCCCTATAGAGTTGTATTGAGGACTGGAGTCAACTATGCCAAAGTAAATAGTTTTCCATTATATGGCACCTTTAACTTATTGTGTATCATCATTTCAACAAATAGTATTACCAGTGACAGAAGAATATATATGTATATGCATTTGTTGCACTTAAAATGTTTTTTTCATCACAGACATTGATAAATTGAATCTTGAGACATTACATTTTGCTGTAAAATGTCTTTATGTAGACATTCTGCACAACTTGTCAGTAAATCATTTACCCATCCCCTTGCTTCTCTAGAGCTTGTTGTCTCCAGTAGCCTTTGGCTTTGGGACGGAGTATCTGTCGCGGTATGAGGAGCAGGGTTTGGGTCTCCAGTGGGACAACATCCAGACCAGCCCTTTAGAGAAAGACACCTACTCCTTCCTCACATCCATCCTCATGATGGTGTTTGATGCTGTCCTCTACGCCATCCTGGCCTGGTATCTGGACAATGTCTTCCCAGGTTGGGCTGCTAATACTGTATGATTTAATTTAGTATTTTACCCCTTTGTAGGTACAACAAGTTTACTAAGCTGAAACTTACATCAAATTTCTCCTTCACAGGGCAGTATGGCATTGGTCGACCATTTTACTTCCCATTCCAGCCCTCATACTGGCAAAATCCCGCACCCTCTCATACAGAAATGGCTGATCCAGGTTAGTATCACTGACTGTAAAATCTCTTACATGCCTCATAACTGAGCAGCCTGGTCACAGGAGGTTTGTCACTTTACTTAACCTGAGAGGAAGAAGTGAATGTCAGCCCTTATTTTTTGCCTCAAAACTAATTGCTTCTCTGCAAAATTCTAATTCCCGTTGGAAGACTGTGGTTGTATTGGAAAGGTCAATATGCAAATGTAATAAGATGACACTCCCCTTGCAGCCCTCTTAGAGCAGGAATTGAATCAGCATCTTGGTAGCAGTTTATTAGGGTGCACTCTTTCCAGCACAGGGTCTGAAACCTGTTCCTCTCTGAATGAGAATGCACAACACCTCTAAAATGGTTAACATTTCACAATGATGGCATCTAACATGCAAGAAAACAATGTTACCATCACTAGCAAGATACATGTACACGCCATCTCTAGTCGACTGTGAAAGGGGAACATCCTAACTGGGAAACGGCTCTGCGATCTGTCTTCTTCAGATGCTGAGAAACCTGAGCAAGACAATGTGGCGAAGGATGCTGAGAGCCAGGGCACACCAGAGACACACACCTGTAATGGTTCAGCTGACAGGAAAGCCTGTAAGCACCAAAGTAAGAGGGAGCAACTGGAGAGAGAGAGGGAGCTGCTGAGACGACAAGGGGAAACTCCAAACCAGGAGGAGGAGTGTCAGGAGTCAGGGATGGAAGGTGAGGACATAAATACAGAACTGCAGCCTAGGAGCTAGGAGGAACTAGCAGTGGTAACTCAAAGAAGGGCCGACTGTAGATTGGAAATTAACATGTGGGGAACACACTGAGGACATCTGGTGGACAGGCAGGGTAACACACCACACCTGGATCCGCAAGATGGAAAAGGAATGTCACAGATATGAGACGATGGAAACTAGAGAGGAAAAACAAAGACAAGGTGCAGTTGCGTCCAAACTCTTGATGATTAGGACGTGTAACTGGCGAGTATCGCCATTAGGGAGAGTGTAATTTGATGTTGCATGTGAAAATCTGCTGCTGTTTGAAACCAAACCTTACTAGACAACATTGGTCAGAATTACACATGATAAAATATTCAGAACTTTCTATTGAATATTTCATGGAATGTGATATTCTAGTTATGTGTAATACACCATAACAATTTCTCTTGTTATATTGTTTTTGAAATTTTGTTTCACATTTTGTTTCACAAGCTTTTAATTTCTTAATTTTGATATTAAGAGCAAAGCTATTCCACCATCCAATATATAATCTAAATTCATATAATCTTTCTGAAGTTAACTCAGCCTTTTTGGGTCTGTTTTGCCATGCAGGTCAGATGTTCTTTGAGAACGACCCATTGGGCCTGGTGATGGGGGTGCAGATTAAGGACCTGGTGAAGGTGTTTGACAGAAGCACTCGTCCAGCTGTCAACTGTCTCAACATTAATTTCTATGAAAGCCAGATCACATCCTTCTTGGGGCACAATGGGGCTGGAAAAACCACCACTATGTAAGCTGAAATCAGATTTTCTTATTCGGTTCGTTTAAAGAACACAGATAAACAAAAGTGAAAAATCTTTATGGCAGCATCCCTGCAGGAGAGGCTCTCCTAGCAATAGTTTACCATTTGAAAGGGATAATCAAATATTTCTTATAAATTGCCTTTCTCTTCGAGACACTTTTTATAGACATCTGGATTACCCTACTCCCTTTGTGAAATCCCAGCGCACATTTGGCAACCCCCATGTAGTGGTATTTGTATCCTATGTGCTTCTGCTCTGTCCAGGTCAATCCTGACTGGCCTGTACCCTCCTACATCTGGCACAGCCTACATTAATGGAAGAGACATTCGGACCGACATGGACATCATCCGCTCCTCGATGGGGATGTGCCCGCAGTACAACATCCTCTTCAAACAGTGAGTTAGATTACAGAAGGTGCTGAACCGGAGCACGAACATGAAAAAAAACATGCAGACTGTGGTTGCAAAGTATACAGCAAAAAAGTGCAAAACAAGAATGGATCTATTGATGTTGAAGAACAAACTAAAAGGCGTGTTGATATCATTTTCTTTGTTAAAAGTTGCTCATTGAACTTTGAAAGTTTAGAATGTCTGTCCAAGATAAAGTGAGGACTTTGTAAAAATCAATGCACATTTTTCAAAATGAAAAATGCTGAAAGCAAGAGCTACTTATTTACTGCCCTATCACAGACTTTGCACAGTCCCACAACTGTCAAAACAACAATTTTACACTCTTCTTCTGTAAAATTGTAAAATGATTACTGCTGCCCCTTTTTTGTTCCAGTCTCACAGTGGAGGAGCACATCCTGTTCTACTCACTGCTAAAGGGTCGGACTCAGGAGGAGGCGGAGAGGGAGGTTGAGGACATGCTGGTGGACCTTGGGCTGCCTCACAAGAGAGACGATGAGGCTCAGAACCTTTCAGGTGGACCACGTGTTCCTCTGTGTGAAGGGGAGAGTGGGCGAGCTAGAGTTTCATTCATTCCTTCATCATTGTTTCTGCTCTGAACAGTTGTTTCTCTCTCACACTCTACAGGCGGCATGCAGAGGAAACTGTCAGTTGCCATGGCATTTGTTGGCGGATCAAAAGTCGTGATCCTGGACGAACCCACCTCAGGAGTGGACCCCTACTCCAGGAGATCCATTTGGGACCTCCTACTAAAATACAGAGCTGGTAAAAATGTCTAATTTCTCCCCTTTAGATCCACATTCTAAAATGCACGTTCTACCCCCACCAGTACACATCTCACCCATAATGTCCACTTTTTACTGCTACATTAAAGACACTGAAGAATGAAACCAAATCCTTGGCAGCTTTACAGCTCTCCTGAGGCACTTGAATTAAGTAGTGAACTGATCAAACGGAAAAATTCAGCTTCAAAAAGCAAAAATTGCAGTCATAAAATCAATAATCTGCTGGCAAAGGCACTTAAAAGTTATGATAACTTCATTATTTGTTCATCTAGAATGGGCTGATATGTTCCTTCTAAAAAGTACTTTATTAAAAGTTTGACCCTTGTGCAGGCCGGACTGTAATTCTGTCCACTCACCACATGGACGAGGCCGACCTGCTGAGTGACCGCATCGCCATCATCTCCAAAGGACAACTCCACTGTTGCGGATCGCCCCTCTTCCTCAAGAACTGCTTTGGAGTTGGTTTCTATTTGACACTCGTACGCCGAATGAAGGATCTGAAGAAGAAGGAGGTAACGTTTACCTTTTACACAGAATCAGCCAGAGAGCTCCTAAACTATGTTATTTCTGTGCCGTCTTGTCTGTTTATCCCTCGTAATTGTTTTCAAACGCAGACACAAAGGAGAACATCTGCTTTTCTTTCACTGAAGTTCCAGTCTCCTGGTAGAAGCTTTGAATTCTTAAAGGTGTTCTTGATTTTGCTGTTTTCATCAGAACGATTGCGACTGTGCCTCAGACTGCTCCTGTTCCTGCTCCATCTGTACCAGATACAAAGATCAGTCTCAGAACCAGTTCCAGCATCTAGACAGAGTTCTAGATGGTAAGTGTATTCTGCATATTAGTTTTACTCTAACTGCATATTCATGAAGTACTCCTCCTCTGTTTGTGTGCATGTGTTCTCTTGCACGTCTATGTTACCCAGAAAACCTGGGATTTAAACCCTGTGAGTGAGCACATTATGAGAAATGGAGGACATTTTGGCAGTCCCTTCCTTCTTCAAAGAGCTGTTTGGGTGTTAAGACTTAATTTTCCAGCTATGGTTAGATTCAGATTTAGGTTAAAGTTAAGATAAGGCTTAAGATTACGCATGTAGTTGTGAGGGTTAAATTTAGAGATATGAGCTAGGGAATAAGGGTTAGGTTTGCTTTTACGTATTAGGTTTTTCTGTGTATATCATTAATGTTTATCATTAAACATTCAACAATGTCAGAAAAAAACATGATTAGTTATTTACTACAAGTTTAACCATAGTAAGAAGTTCATTGAGAAAATCAAGTAAATGAAAGTCCTCACAAATATAGCAGTACAAACCACTGTATGCGTGACCTTCAGGGATGTGTATGTGTGCACTGGTTGATATTCCTGTGGCTGGCCCACTTATTAAAGTTTTAAAACAGAAACAGAACACACTATTGTTTCACATTTATAATTTAGCGGTGCTGTTGACCCACATGCCTTCCCCTCCTAATTCTGCCTGAGGACACTGTACTTGAGATGCAGTGATTCAAGCACAAATTCATTCATGCATTTTAGTGCTTGAATAATAATGTTTGTTTTGGGCATAATTAGCAGTTTCCCTTGCTTTGTCCTTTTCTTGGTTTCTGCTATTTTTGCCAGCACTTTACTAACCTCTCCATAAATGATGATTTTCCGTCTTCTTCCCAGGGGATATAGACAGCATCACTGGTCTCATCCACCACCACGTCCCTGAAGCCAAGCTGATCGAGACGATTGGCCAGGAGATGACCTATCTGCTCCCCAATAAGGGCTTCAAACATCGAGCGTATGCCAGCCTGTTTAGGGAGCTGGAGGAGACACTAGCCGACATGGGCCTCAGCAGCTTCGGCATCTCTGATACATCGCTGGAGGAGGTAGGGATTTAATGCTGCTTTTAGGGCATAGGGCTTTTTGGGGTAGGCCTCTATTCATTATTACCGAGTTGCCGAGGGACAAGATGGCGCCTGTGTGTTCGGCTGGCCGTCGGTCTCTCTCGTACTTATTTTTATGGATTTATCTATGGATGTCTATCTGGGCTTCAAATTGCTGCACACGTCTGGTCTATGACCGACAGTCACTCCTGAACATTCGCACCTCTTTTATGGACTTTTACAAGCAGGATGTAGCGCACGTTTTTAATCAAACACACAGAAACACCACTACGCATACTTTGGAATGTATTCGCCAGTGGCCGCTTATCACTTCACGAAGGAAACGCAGAAGGAAACGCGGGAGTCGGGGTGGACGCATCATCAGGTTGAAAACCACTGAAAGACTCAGGATCGATGCAAATCCAAACCATATGTCGGACGGCAATTACGTTGCCCGGCGACCGCGAGCCCTGGCTCATCGTTGGCTTCAATCTATCATTCCCCCGCGATCTTCGTCTGTCCATTTGGTTCGCTTACCTCGGGTTGGCCGCTGTCATCGGCAAAACGGTGTGAATCCCGGAAATCTACGTTCTCTGAAGAAAGGCGGAGTTCTCCCCGATGTGATTCATCCGCCCAAAATGGCACTGATCAACGCTAGATCCTTGGTCAACAAAACCTTCCTGCTCAACGATTTCTTCTCCTCTCATAGTTTGGATTTCATGTTCATCACGGAATCCTGGACTACGGTTGGTGATCTAACCCCTTTTTCTGAATTAGTTCCAACTGACTGTTCGTTTTTTAACTCCCCCCGTCCGAACAGACGAGGGGGCGGGATCGTGACTATTTTTAAAAACTCTTTCTCTGTGCGATGCCGGCCGGTTCCTGTCAGTGCTTTTTCAAGTTTTGAAGCTCAACTACTTCATTTAGACTGGAATGGCCCTATTTTATTAGGGGTGATTTACCGTCCTCCACATTCACTCAAAGACTTCATTCAGCAATTTACAGAATTCATTGGTAATATCACCACAACCTATGACCGTTTTCTATTGGTGGGTGATTTTAATATCCACGTTTGTTGTCAATCTAACACTCTGTCAAAAGATTTTCTCAGCCTCATTGAATCTTTTAACCTAGTCCAGTGGATAAATGATTCCACTCATGTTAAGGGTCACACTTTGGACCTTGTGCTTTCATATGGGATGGTGATTAGTGATGTTGTGATATCTGATTTTATGCTTTCGGACCATAAGCCAATATTATTTTCTACATCTCTTCCTTCCATTGCTCAAACCACCAGTGCAGATGTAAGACTGTCTAGATCATACTCTCCTCATTTTGGCTCAAATTTTAACGAGCACTTTATGAATTCCTCCACACACTTGCTTCTGAACTCTCCACTACTGGAATTAGATGCCGACCAACATCTCGGTCTGTTATACTCCACTTGGTTTAATGCCCTTAATGAAACTGCTCCGCTTAAGCCCTTTAAACCTAAACCTAAATCTGAACCATGGCTCAACGTGGATACTCGGCGACTAAGACAAGCTAGTAGAAAGGCTGAGCGCAAATGGAAGAAGGACAAGCTACATATTTCACTTCAGTTATTTAAAGACAGTCTGTCGACCTACCAGAATGCTGTAAAGGCGGCAAAAGCTGCACACTTCTCTGACATGATAATGGCAAACCACTCTAGACCAAAGGTTTTATTTTCTGTTATCAACTCGGTTTTAAATCCTCCGGTAAATGTAATGAATGGTGTTTCGGATGAGCTATGTGAACGTTTCTTGAGATTTTTTATTGACAAAATATCTAACCTGAGATGCAATGCCAGCCGCCTTGAAACTAGTCAGTTGATGAATTTTGTTACCTGGGATGCTTTTGAGCCAATCAGTCTGAATCTCCTTAAAGAAATTATCACTAAGATGAAACCCTCGTACTGCTCTCTAGACATCATCTCTCCTAAGTGTCTTAAATTAGTTACTGATTCAGTTGGGCCAGGATTGGTTTCCTTTATTAATAAGTGCCTCCTTACCGGCTCTATCCCTGCTGCCCTTAAGGAGGCCACTGTCACTCCGTTACTCAAGAAGCCCTCACTGGATCCTACCGTGTTAAATAACTTCCGCCCTATCTCTGTTTTGCCTTTTGTCTCTAAGGTGTTAGAAAAAGTTGTGCTTGACCAACTCCAGATCTTTCTAAAACGCAATGATATTTCTGAAAAATTTCAATCTGGTTTTAAGTCTGCTCACAGTACTGAATCTGCTCTGCTGAGAGTTTTAAATGACATCTATCGTTCCACTGACACTGGTGACTCTGTGGCTCTTATTCTTCTGGATCTGTCGGCAGCTTTTGATACGATCGACCACTCCATCCTGATATCCAGACTAGAATGTGATGTGGGGCTAAAAGGCATCGTCCTCCAGTGGTTCCAGTCTTATCTCTCGGGTCGTACTTTCAGAGTAAAGCTAGGAAATTGCTCATCGTCTGTTGCGCCTCTAACCTGTGGCCTTCCTCAAGGATCTATCTTAGCGCCTTCTCTCTTTTCCCTCTACATGTTACCGCTGGGCAACATTCTAAGAAGACATGGGGTATCTTTTCACTGTTATGCAGACGACACCCAAATGTACGTTCCAATCAAGAGAAATGATCCCTCTGCCCTTTCATCATTCTTAGGTTGTCTAGATGAAGTAAAATTTTGGCTGGACCAAAATTTTTTGTTTTTAAATGAAACCAAAACAGAGATCATTGTTTTCGGGCCCACTGTTAATCCCCAGGCTGCCACCCTCGACCTAGGCAGACTAGCGGCGTTTAGATCCTCAAGTGTTCGGAACCTGGGCGTTCTACTGGATGAGTCTTTAAATTTTGATAAACAAATCTCCTCGGTAATAAGCTCTAGTTTTTATCACCTACGTCTCTTGTCAAAAGTCAAACCTTTTCTTAATCCTAAAACTCTTGAGATGGCTGTTCATGCTTTTATCACCACACGTGTAGATTACTGCAATTCACTTTACTGTGGTATCTCGAAATCCCAAACTGCTCGTCTGCAATTGGTGCAAAATGCCGCCGCAAGATTCCTCACAAATAGTCGTAAAAGTGATCATATCACCCCAATTCTGCGGTCTCTTCATTGGTTGCCCGTTAATTTCAGAACTGAGTTTAAAATCCTGTTATTTGTGTACAAAGCTTTATGCAACCAAGCACCTAGCTACCTAACTGAACTGCTACAACCGTATACTCCATCGAGAAGTCTCAGATCAGGCGAACAAAATCTGTTACAAGTTCCTCACTGCAGACTTAAACGCAGAGGGGATCGAGCTTTTTCTGTGGTTGGGCCTCGGCTGTGGAACAATTTGCCCTTAGACGTTAGGATAGCCCCTTCTGTGATCTCTTTTAAGTCACTTTTAAAAACGCACTTGTTTTCTTTGGCCTATAATTAAGGTTGTTTATGTATGTGTATCTTTGTATATACATATATCTATATGTATATGTGTGTGTGTGTATGTTTATACGTCCTTTCTGTTGTTTATTTTTGATAACTCTATGATTGCTTGTGCTTCTCCCGTTCTAAGCTGTTCTTATCTTTGCTGTACTGTTCTATGATGTGCTGCTATGCATGGTGTTAGTGTCTTTTAATTTTGTTGTTCTGTAAAGCACTTTGGTCAGTCATTGGCTGCTATAAAATGTGCTATATAAATAAAATGAACTTGAACTTGAACTTGAACTTTTACACTGCATGAAACAGATGGTAAACATGAGCTTCCAGAATATCACATTTTCACAGCTTGCAATTTATCTGGATTTTATGAGAAATCAGCTTTGGGATTTCTGACATCATCAACAAGAAAACAGCCATAGTCCGGTAAAAACAAAAATGTAATTGTATTAATCTGAGCAACAAAATAAATGAAAAAAATGATTTAATTTTTAATAATAAGACCACCACCTCTAACAAACACCTCTTGAATATGTTTTCAGTGGATGACTACAATGATAAAAACTTGTACACTGCAAAAACCATCTTAACAGTATGTCTTGTCTACTATTGTGTCTTTAAATTTTTGTATTCTCAAAAAAGAAAATTACTTTTAAATGTATAAAATTATTGAAACAAGTAAGTCTGGACTGGAAACAGGTGGACCTTAAACTGGCAGAAATTTGCAGTTGTTTAAAGAAAATCAGAGTTTTTAAACTGAAAAACCAATATTTATTGGCAAGATGGACATTTTAGCTGTGTAAATCAAGCGCATACTGTCTGTATGTGATGGCAGCATTTTCCCCTGAATACATTTCCTGCTATGTTTTTTAAAAGATACTGATAACGTATATCATTTTACTTTTGAACTTAGGGAAGAACTTTTATTTAATGTGTGAAAAGTTTTGAAAGTTCAGGGAAGTTGTTTTTTTCTTTCCAGATATTCATAAAGGTCACTGCAGATGGAGAAGCAGCGAATAATGCCACCACTCCTGGTAAATACCTCCACTGATATTCAGCATGGCCTTTTCCTGGAATTGAATTTCTGACCCGTTGCCCTGTGATGTTTATATATTGGCCTGGCACCTGTTTTTACCATTGTTGTGAATTCCCTTACTCACTTCCCTAACTCTAACATTGGCTACTTGTGTAGTATTTCCATGAGGTGTGGTGCATCATTTGTCAGTTTTAACCCTCGAGTTTGTGTGTGTGTTTTGTGTCTCACCTGTGCACTCATGCCTCTAGAACAGTGGATGTTACAACGGAAAACAAACGGCAACAAAGTTGGTGCAGAGGGAGATGAAGGTCAGAGGTTTAAGTGCCCAAAGAATTCTGACAATTTAAGCTTTTTTATTGAGACTGCTGGTCAGTCAGTATGTGCAAAAATTATTGTTATTCAACAATAAAGTTTTGACCGGGTATGCAGGATTTATCACATGTAGGTAATTTGGATGTCATCTTGTAAAGTGCAGTATTCTGACATTAAAATGCTTATCTTTGACCAATTTGTTGGCAATAATTAAGCAGTTTAAGTGATCCATGAATCTAGAGCAGATGCTCTGCATGTACTGTTAAAAACAAAGCAGGGATTATGATATTCTTAGGCTTTATTTAGACAGTTTATTCTGCTTGCTTGCTCTTTTCTAGCACAGCACTGCTTTAAATTCAAATTCATACGTTTACTAAAATAATTATTTGTCAGCTGCATAGAATCTGAAAAAAAAATCTGAAATGTCAGATGAGTTTATGCGCCTCGCTCAGTGGAATCTCAGCGGTATGACTAAGCCTGCTTCTCCAGCTTGCTACCACTGCCTCTCGAGCAAATACTCCAATAGATATTTTATATACAGTACTTACTGTATCTTTTCTTCACAGAACCTAATGGTGTGACGCAGACTAACGGCATAACCCATGGTGCATCAGATAGCAGTGAAGGAAAGGGCTCCAGGCAGGTGAAAGGGGCCACTCTGATCCTGAAGCAGTTTCATGCGCTGCTGGTGAAGAGGTTTCACCACGCCATAAGAAGCCAGAAAGAGTTCCTGGCACAGGTATATGTGTATTTTTTGTATTGGTTTAAACTGTGCGTGCATTGTCTATGACTGACTCTCATACATCAGAGTGTTGTGACTTGCTTACTTGTATTTTGGCAATTTCAGATCGTCCTTCCTGCCAGTTTTGTCCTAATAGCTCTGATATTCACCACGATCGTCCCTCCGTTTGGAGAGTATCCAAGTCTGACTCTGACCCCCTGGATGTACGGACAGCAATTCACCTTCTTCAGGTCAGACCTCATGACAAACACGGATATGTCAAAAAAAAAAAGACACTAGCTTTAAAGAAACCATCAGTTACAGTATGAATCACATAAACACTGAGGTACCCGACACATTGGTCGTGATCATATTGCTTATATTTCTCCAGTCAGTTAGTAGCTTTAACTTAATTTTTCTTCTTCCATTTTGTCATCTCTATTTAGTAACGAGCAACCATTTGACCCCACAATGAAACGCTTCACAGAGCGCTTACTGAGCAGACCAGGCCTGGGGACACGCTGTATGGAAGGAGAATCACTAGGGTGAGTATCAGGACTTTTGACAGGACAAGACAGGACCATAATTACATGAGTACATCATATTTCATGAATTCAAATACTGGTACAGAAATCCCCCAACATGCATTCAAACATTTGGAGCTCAAGTAACAATTGCTGAATTCTTACCTGCTAAGCTCATCAGATGTTTGATCATCAAGTATACTGTCACATTATCATTAAGGCATCACATAACTGGTGACATATTTATCCAAGATATAATACAAGACTGTCATATAAATATTATTAATCCCATCCTCAAAAGACATTTTATGTGTTTTTAAGTTCTTATTGCAGCACCATGCTAATTCATTTTACCTTTTTGTATTTCTCCACTTATCTCCCTACAGAATGCCCTGTAGTAACAGCACATCAGAGTGGCAGGATCCTGACGTCTCTCCTCTAGTCAGCAACATCTTACAGAGTCCTGAGTGGAACCAGAGGAACCCGTCTCCTTCCTGCCAGTGCAGCTCCAGTAAGAAGCTTACCATGATGCCCATCTGTCCCATCGGAGCAGGCGGCCTGCCACCTCGCCAGCGGACCGAGGCCACGGGAGACACAATGCTGAACCTGACGGACAGGAACATCTCTGACTACCTGGTTAAAACCTACCCCAGTATCATCAGAGCCAGGCAGGTTGAAATGCAGTATATATCTGCATTCAAATGAAACTTAACGGAAAGACTTAAAGAAGAAATAGTGTGTTAAATCCCTAAATGGGCTTAAGAACATGTCACAAAGCAATTAAAACAAGGTTTAACATGACAGAAAAAACTTGCTTGTTCTGCAAATCATTTAGTTTGACCACTTTTTTCAACACATTTAAATAATTACCTCCCTGCTTGATTCAATTCTGAATTTCATTTCACAGTTTGAAGAGCAAATACTGGGTGAATGAACAAAGGTAATCATTTGTGCTTTATCGCTGCAAGTCCCTCTTGTCTCTCTTGTGTAACTGATGTGGGATACCGAGTGTAAATATTGTCTGTCCTCAGATATGGCGGCCTGTCGGTTGGAGGACAGCTTCCCATCCTGGACGTCAAACCCAAAGACATTCAGAATGTTTTCCACCAACTGGGAAGAATGCTCAACATCACAGCGGTACTCACTGTTTCTTTTGTTCATGAGACAAGTTTGTGGAGTCGATCAAGTGAGTTTATAATGAGCATTTTCTTTAACAGGGTTACTATTCTGGACTTGCACTCAGGGAAATTGGTCCTTTCTTACGATACATGGAAAGTGAATTCAATATAAAGGTAGGTGTGGGGTGGGTACAGTAGCAGGTTTTTCGACAAATAGCACATCAGCAAATGGTAGAAATTATGTGCAAACACTCATAGTCGCTGGTCTGACGTCTACCACTGGCGCTTTGCTTTTATATTACAAACCTTTCAGTTTATAGTCTTTTGTAGCTTTTCTTTAAAGGTTTTATATAAGAAAGGTCAGCTTGCAAGTCCCTGTATTGTATATCAGGACTGCAATTATCAAGTAAGAAGTTTGTGAGATGTGTTCAATTAACCCTGCTCCACTTTGTCAGGTTTGGTATAATAACAAAGGCTGGCACGCTATGGTGGCCTTCATGAATGTGGCCAATAACGCCATTCTGCGGGCCTTCCTGCCTCCGTCTGCCAAACCTGTCGATTTTGGCATCACCGCCGTCAACCACCCTCTGAACCTCACCAAAGAGCAGCTTTCCGAAGTCACAGTGTGAGTGTTACTTTTATATTTTATTTATTTGAAATCAAAATATTTGTTTGCACATTAACGAATACAATTATTCTAAAAGATATGTATACAAACACACTTTTATCTAAATATACTCAGATATGCATAAAGTTTAAAGTAGCTTGTGCTAAAGAGGAAGGGAACTCAAAATTTACACCCAACACCCAAAACTATTTTTTTCTCATTCCAGTTAACACTGTATACGCTAGCAAACTACATTTATACTCACACGAGTATAGTATATTTTATTGATGTGTTGTCTGGAATTTAGTTTTATTACTTTTAGTTTTTAGTTTCATTTTAATGCCAGTTTCCCCATAAAAAAAGATAAACACACACAAAAAATTAATCAGGATCATTACTGATACATGGCCATGTCTTTATCAAATTATTTTGTCGCCAAATGTTTTATTTGGCTTTAACTTAAAGCATTTTTATATTGATTACTAATTACACAATGGCCCTGACACTTTATCTGCTTCTCTCTTCAGGTTGACCACTTCAGTAGACGCTGTGGTGGCAATCTGCGTCATTTTCGCCATGTCCTTCATCCCTGCCAGCTTCGTCCTCTACCTCATCCAGGAGCGTGTGACCAAGGCCAAGCACCTACAGTTTGTCAGTGGGGTCAGCCCTTTAGTGTACTGGGTGGCCAACTTCTTCTGGGACATGGTAAGTCAAAATATTAAATTTAATATTAAAATTGATTATATATACAATATATCATTTTTTCACCTAGTCTTTGTCTCATGTGCATGCTTTGCATTTCTCCCCTAGGTTAACTACAGTCTCAGCACTGCATTGGTGGTTGGCATTTTCATGGCTTTTGACAAAAAGTGTTACACATCACCATCCAACCTGCCAGCACTAATAGCACTGCTTCTACTATATGGGTAAGGCTTTGCTTAGTTTGATTGAGCAAGTGAGTTATTAGGACATCTCACATCTTAACAAAAAACAAAGGAATTAATGAATGACATACAGGGGACTGCATATCAACTCTGTATAACAAGGAAATACACAGAGCGAGAACAAACAAACATACATGCCCGAAAAGGGATGAGGAAAAAACAACATGACTTGAATTTTTGAAATGTTTCTTGTTTAAAATATCTTATAGGTGGTCAGTGACGCCCATGATGTATCCCATGTCCTACTTATTCAACATCCCAAGTACTGCATATGTGTCCCTGTCCTGCATCAACCTGTTCATAGGCATCAACAGCAGCGCTATCACCTTCATCCTGGAGCTTTTTGAAAACAATCGGGTAAGTACATATAGATTGTGAAATATAGCAAGAAAAAAAACCCACAGCTAACACAAATAAATTATGTTAACAGGAATTCCCAAATTATCTTCCACTGTAAAGATGCACATTTGAATTAGTCTTGAAATCACATTAGTCTTGTATTAGTCTAACTGGTGAGAGCCCTCCTACACAAGTCAACAGTATTGTAGATCTGTGGCAAGTTTTACTGGTGTACTCCTTCACCTGCTAAAACCCATAACACCCCAAAGAGCCTAACCGCTGAGTGCATCAATTTATAAATGTACAAGTAAAAGCAGTATTTAGTTTTGGGGGGTAGCAGAACAAGCTTTGTAAACGTCTTTTTACACATCCACTAGACACGGAGCAAAATAAGCATTCATTTTAAATTGTGTTTGTGGCCAGCTGACAAATGTCCAATATTCACTCTCCACTATGTTCACCTGCTAGATGCTAGCTTTGTCCATTGTTTGATGCAGAGCAGGTAGGTGTACAATGGGTTTTAGAGCTTTTTTGCTGAAAATGGCTGCCTGCTGCTGCTAGAAACAGGGTTGATAAAAGGTGGCAAACTGAAAGCAGTAAAATTATGAGGCGTACAACTAAAACAATTACCTGAAATATGTTAAAACGCTGCGTAAAGCTGAGGGGAACTACAAACGACACCTTTCACATTACACTGATTAGTGCAGCTTCAAAAAGGGACACACATCTATTCTTTTAATATTATCCAAGGATCAAACATCATTTGTCAGATGTTTCTGCTGCCCCCATGTGGCCAAAAAAAATCAATCATTGCAGCATAAATTGCAAGGAAGTTTGACTCTTTTGATGACTCATACCGATTCATTACTTCTAAGTGAATCCATGTCTGAAGTGTTGAATAGGGCACTAGGGAGCAGACAAATATATCTTAGTTTAGAGCAACATCAGATTAATGTTACAGCACAATGGCAGAGACAGGGCAATCAAAATCAGGTTTGCTGAGAGGGACACTGTGAATACAGCAGGAAAAGCACAGGCGTTATCAATGGCTCCGCTCCATAACTAAGCCGTGACAGTGAGTGGAAAAGAATAAACAAAACATACCTCTACAACACATTTTTTTATGTTTTAAACTATAATTCTGGCCATGCCTTATCTCACACATTAAAATAAAAACAATCAAGTTGGAGGAAAGACATGTAGCGGGGAAATGGCACAGATGCTACTCTGTCAAAAAGTGGAGATGATCCTGTTTGCCAGATGGTTCGCTCCACCGCACATCTGTGCTCCTCTGTTCTGCGCTCACTGATGAATCTTGCAATGGGTGAGTCATGAGAGAAGGTGGCACGACCCATATCTTTGTTATGGCAATATTTCCAGGAGTCTAAACTTAGAGCTTATTCGTCACCAACAATAAATAACAACTGAATGCACTCCTACGATTACTTGTCTGAGAATTCATAAACGAGTCACTTTGGTTTAGTGAATACATGTGCACTGGGGGGGAGGGATTCAGTATTCGATTTTGGTGTTATAACAACGGCAGAGACTTGACGGTGTGTGCAAAACAAAGCTGAACAGTGATCACTTCCTACACTACTCAATCTTCGCAAAATTTCCAAAATCCACAGACGATACCGGAGAGAACAGCCTGATCTCATATCAGATGTATAATAAAAATAGGAATAGTCATGTACTCCTGTCCTAGACGACAAGAGACCCTGATGAACAGGAGGAGCAGTCCACGTGATTTAAACATGCTGGGCGTGTACACTTGGCCAAAGCTCTGATGACCTGGGTTCAATTACAAATGCATGCAAATGAGTTTTCGGTTTTAAATGTGGCGCTTATGTTTTCAGCAAGTTTTTAAAGTTGAATAATGAATAAAAACCTACAGTATGCATAAGTTGAACTGAAGTTGTTTCAGTGAATTAATTGGTGTTGTTTGCATGCGCTGTTCATACTTGGGTAAACAGAAGGGCAATTCAGCATTTCATAAGATATAATGGAAATCTTGTGTATGAGAACACAATGCTGAGATGGTTATGCAGTGATGCAAAGTCTTCCATAAAATACAGAGCTTCTGAATTGAAGTTTAATTTAGTTAGAATTATTTGTATTATTATATTTGTGTATACTGCTTACTGTATGTTGGAGGGTTCCATCAATCCTGCACTCAAGTGAAATGTAAATGTGTATGTGTGTTTCCAGTCCTTATTGATGTTCAATGAGTGGCTAAAGAAATGCCTGCTGGTGCTCCCTCACTTCTGCCTGGGGCGAGGACTGATAGACATGGCCATGAACCAGGCTGTTACTGATGTTTATGCCAGATTTGGTAAGTACGGTATACTGTTCCATGTGTTTTCCATCATTATTTCACGATACGTAGCACACTGTCCATCACTCAAAATATTTCAAATAATATGATCAGAAATCCTGCTTTTTTGATGATTGTTTTTTAATTGGTGGCATAAATCTGGAAATTGTTTACTAGATTTTACAAAATCGCACCTTTGTAATCATAGTTCTAGTTAATACTTACCAGTGACCAGTGACTTCTTTGTCTGCCTGACTTCAATGAAACATACTTGCAAACTCCTACAGTAGAAGACTTGAGTTATCGCTCTCCTGGCTACTGGGAAATGGTGTTTGTACAGCTTGTGACATAAAAGAAAATACTTTTTTTTCAGTACAGACCTCATTTCTGTTTTCAGGTGAAGAGTACACACAAGACCCTTTCCGGTGGGACTTTGTGGGGAAAAATGTTGCTTTCATGGCAGTGGAAGGCTTAGTCTACTTCATTATCAATCTTCTGATCCAGTATCGTTTCTTCTTGGACCACTGGTAAGGGACTGGCTAAACACTGATCAGCACACTGTACATGTTTACATACACAGAGTCTAAATCTTTTATTACAACAGCGTCTTGACCTTTCCAAGGAATCTTGACCAGGGCAGTTCTTTCACACGGGGTCAGAACTCATACCTGCCTATTAACAGATAAAGTGCAGTTTAGTTGTACTAGATTCTTCCCAGCAGATGATTTTCTTGCACCCTTCAGGTTATCAGACAAAAACCAGACTCCAATACAAGATGAGGATGATGACGTGGCAGCAGAGAGGCGAAGAATTTATGACGGAGGGAGCAAGACAGACATCCTGCAGCTCAGAGACCTCTCTAAGGTAAAAACCACTTTTTTCCACCATGGTTTTCTGTGTCTTGTCTGTGACTTCATCATGGTATCTCAATTTCATATTTTACTTTAGACCGCAGTAGACTTTGTATGTAATATAAGCTCATTGATTTCTTCCTGACCATTCTATAATGTAATTTAATTTTTTCAAGTCCAGGTCAATTTTCATTTTAATTTAATTTTTAATTTGGAAAGAATTTCTTAAACATGGACACGACAGTGCAGATGAAAAATGACAAATAACACAGCAAGTCTCTGACAAACAAGTGTTATGACTTCCATTGATCCATCCATCTTCAACCACTTATCTGGGGTCGGGTCACAGGGGCAGCAGCTCCATCAGGGGACCCCAAACTTCCCTTTCCCGAGCCATATTAACTTGCTCTGACTGGGGGATCCCGAGACGTTCCCAGACCAGTGTGGAGATATAATCTCCACCTAGTCCTGGGTCTTACCCGAGGCCAAGTGTTACGACATGTAATGTAATGAACATTAGCTTCAGTGGTCGACCAATATGGGTTTTTCAATGCCCGATGCCGATATTTAGAAAACAGGGCAGCCGCCGGCCGATAATACCGATATCAAACAAAGAAAAGTCATGTATCATGTACAGTCTAATTTTCATCGTTATCCTAGCCAGTAACATGTTGTTTTAGATGGATTTTCTATTAATTAACGTAATAGAAAAACACATTGGGTTATGCTGCAGATTTCACAAGGTGACTGGTGTTTGAGGAAGAGCAGGGTACAGTTTGTCAGAAGTGGCGTCATTCACCTGCATTATTCTCTACATTAATACAATATATATTTAACGCAAGCCAGTAATGGTTTTAGATTAGATTAGCTGTCATTTAGGATGATATATCGGCCTCATGAATGCAGGTTTCTGCTGATTAATCTATTACTAGCTGATAAAATATTCAATTTTATATTCAGTATTCATTAGTTTCTGTTTTCTTAGGTAGAAATTAAAGAATCTATTAAAAGTCACTCAATGTGGCATAATGGCGTCTGAAATAAGTGGTCAGAAAAGGGGGCAGGTTATGTTTTTCTTTTTTTCTTGCTCAGGGTGGGGGGTGGAGGGGGGTGGGAGAGTTTGTCTGTCATTATTAGGAATGCAGAGGAGTGTGTTTCAGCTGTTGTCTCCGAATAATAATTTTTGATCTTTCATTCTGGGGAAAAAAATATCACAGTTCATATAGGCCATAACAGCAGACAAAGAAAAAGAAAATTAAAGATTAAAGCACACTATATAAAAAATGTAACATACACTATAAAGTGCAGATCAAATAATTGCATGCTAAAAGACAATATATGCAGGCAGATTAATGCTGTGGGGAAAAAAATGGATATGGCATATTTTATAGTCTATCATGTGTTTGTTTTTCTGATCTTGAAATTTGGTATTGTTTTCCAAAGTACTACACAAATCAGTTATTATTGTTTCCCTGCCTTCTCTGCACAGACGTATGTGGGCAGGAAGAGGGCAGCTGTGGACCGGATTTGCGTTGGTGTCCCTGCAGGAGAGGTAAAGTCACAGAGTTCTTTTATATTGAGAGCTACTACTGCCTTTTTAAAAATGTTAAGAGATGCAGATAACAAGCAGTAGTTGTTTTTTATCAGCAGCTCTTAATATGAAGCATATTTTCTGGACATCTAGTTTCTTTTTTTTATCCGGTGTGTTCTGTGTTTTCTGATGTAGTTTTCTCATGTTCTTTATTGATGCATGCAGTAGAAGAGCATTTAATGAAGCCAAATAGAATATTAAAGTTTCAAAAGGATATTAGTAGTCTTTCTATCATAGTTTCAGCAGCATTTCAGCTGAATGTGTCCTCGCATTGAGAGCCTGATTGTCTTTGTGTACCATTAGTGCTTCGGCCTCTTGGGAGTTAATGGAGCTGGAAAGACGACGACCTTCAAAATGCTGACTGGTGACACTGATGTCACCTCTGGGGAGGCTACTGTGGTTGGTTACAGGTACATAAAGATCAGTCAAAAATGTCCCTGGTCGATAGAACACAGACTCTGCTCAGGGCCGGATCAGACTTTGCTTTTGGTTTATCCTGCGCGCAGTTCCAGATGGGAGACGACCAGAAACAGTCCAACGAGTTAGAAAGTTTAATCACACAAAGGTCAATCTGCCGTAATTCTGTTTGATGACGCAATGTGACCAACCCACGTGGTACTCACAGAATAAGGCTAGGAACTAGGACTTAATCGAAAAGTCCTAGTGTCTCAGAACACTTTTTGCTGTGGAGCTACTATAAAGTAATTTTGGTGCTAATATTCTATATGTTGAAAACTTATTGGAACATAACAGTTTTCCTCTCAGAATACAATTTGTTGGACACTAACCTCTATTAAAACCCAAATTAATGTCAGTCTGTATGTTAGGTTAAATGTAATTGTTTGTCATTCTGTTCAGTTTTTACATAAAAGCAATCAGCTTCCTCTCAGCTCGGCGCGACATGTTTTAAAAAATGGCTGTGTTAGTCTAACCCCCACTCAGAATAGTTTAATGTTTCGTTTTTCTCATGTAGTTGGCTGTATCGGCTCTCTGCAATGAATGGCACCTTGTGTCTTGTTTTGTAGCATCCTGAATGAGATTCTGGACGTGCACCAGAACATGGGCTACTGCCCTCAATTTGATGCCATCGACGAGCTCCTAACCGGCAGGGAGCATCTGTACCTCTACGCTCGTCTCAGAGGGGTACCTGAGTCAGAGATCCGCAGAGTGAGTAGGACTCCAGCTGTCTTAAAACTTCAAGGATTTCATCCTGCTGGCTGAATGAAACCACCATTTGGCTCAGCTCTGCATAGAGACATTTATGTCGGTTTTATTTATTTTGTTTTGTACATTGTCGCTTCACTGTTGTTCAGTGTTCACTAATGTGTGTTTTGTCCTTTTAAGAATGGCTCTGTTAACAGTAGGGGTTCCCCGTCCTAAAAATGTAAGTCACATTTGGATGGACATGCACACCAAATGCATATTTCCCCCCTTCCCCCTTTAGGTGGCAGAGTGGGGCATCCAGAAGCTGGGTCTGACAGAGTATGCCAGCCGCTGTGCAGGGACCTACAGTGGAGGCAACAAGCGCAAACTCTCCACAGCCATCGCCATGATTGGTTGCCCAGCGCTGGTGCTTCTGGTGAGTTAGCCAATGACAGGGAGCTCATGAGCCCATTGTTTGGGTTTTTGGGTTTTATGCAGGGATTTATCAATGAAATGGTCTATGGATCCAGATGGGAAGCCATATGGGTTCAGTCAAGCCTGGCCACAAATGTTTTTATACATTGGCAGGCAACTGCACAGTTGAGTTCAAATTGGCATAAATCTGAGATCTTTGCCATATGCTGATAAGAGATAAGGATTTGGTCTGTGTTCATATGGAATTATGTGCTCAGAGAGAGTCAAGTTTGTTGTTTGTTTGTGGCTGTGTGTGTGTTTAGGATGAGCCCACGACAGGGATGGACCCCCACTCCCGGCGCTTCCTGTGGAATGCCATCATGAGTGTCATTCAAGACGGCAGGGCTGTGGTGCTAACATCACACAGGTTTGACATCTAATAATGAATTTAATACACTGTACACACCTGCTGCAGCAGCTGACAAAACACAGTTAACTCTTCTGCCAACAATTGTTGATTGAATCATGACTAGATTGGCATTTGCTTGATTTTACCATAGACATCTGTGAAATTATGATTTATGGCTTGTAGCAGCAGAAGAAATAAAGATGGATTATGGTTGTTTCCCACCAGTATGGAGGAGTGTGAAGCCCTCTGCACTCGACTGGCCATCATGGTCAATGGGACCTTCAAGTGTCTGGGTACCATCCAGCATCTCAAATACAAGTAAGATGTTTTCTGTATTTTAGTAGGCTTGCACAGTGTTTGGATTGGATAATATTAAAATATCATGATTCCTAACTTTTAAAACATAGAAGTTAAACGGTTTCTCATGATCATGGTACAGACAGTTTGTAAGCATCAAAATTTATGTTCCTAAATGCATTGGACCTTTCTGTGGGTCTTAATATATTAAAGAAAAAGAAAATTCAAACTTTGAAAATACTAACAATATGAAGTTGTACAACTTTGGGAGATTAAACACAGCTGCAATGTTATTGTTTGAATTTTTGGTCAACAATGAAGTTACAATTTTAGCAATTCTAAGGTAGTCCAAGTTGTGGATATTAATTTAGTATAGTAGTAGTAGTATAATGGAGGCCGAGCTGGAGTAGGTGAAATCACAGTCAGTATAAGAAAACTGGAATGTATCCTGAAAAATGTCCAATATCTTCACACTGCATTTCCTTGATCCAGATTTGGTGACGGCTACGTCGTGACTATGAAAATCAAGGCAGCTAAACCGGGCTTGTCCCCAGATCTGGAGCCTGTCGAGAGCTTCATCGAGAGCTCTTTCCCCGGCTGTGTTCAGAGGGAGAAGCACTACAACACGCTGCAGTATGAGATAGCCGCCTCCTCCCTTGCCAGAATATTTCAGCTGGTGGTGGCCAATAAAGAAAGGCTCAGCATCGAAGACTACTCTGTTTCCCAGACAACACTGGACCAGGTACTGTACATATGAACAGGGGAAATGACCAAAAAGCCTCAACCTGTGTATAATAAATGTGAAGGAACAATTGTGAATCACCTCCCAATAACTTAATTTAAAATACAATCTCATATAATACGATTGGATTTCAATAGTCTTCATGTTTAAATAATAAATTGTATCATAATTTCATAAAAAAACAAAACAAGAACAATGAAACCAATCACTGCATGCTTTTTCCATCAAGCCATTTGACCGACTGTTAAACATTACACAGTAATGCCACTTTGGGACTCTGCCAGAATAAGACAACAAATCCAACCTTTCTACTTCAGTTACACATATAAAGCTCCCACAGCCATATCTTCTTTCCTCTTTCTGTCTTCTATAAGATTAGGTTCAGTTATTAAATGTTTAACTTCATTTCTTCTTATAAGCTTGACATAATATACTGTCAATTGACTGTATATAAAGACGGCAGGTCAGTATAGTCATTTTAGGTAGTTCTTATCGCACTGATGTATGTTCAAGTGTTCATTTTTCTGATAAGTTTGGTTTTGAGTTACTAAGTGGGGCTATGATTCTGTCGCTAAAACTTATCGCTTGAAATCAGTAAAGTATGACTTAACCATCCTGAGCCGATGCATTTTCGTGCTTTTATGCCTTGGGGCAGTACATTTTTTTTTTCCTTTTGTACTGAATTATTATGTCTGTTGTGCAGGTGTTTGTCAACTTTGCCAAGCAACAGACGGGAGAGGATGAGGACATTACATTACACAGACGAACAGCAGGTGGAAGAAAAGACATCAAGATCTCGCCAGTGCAGAGGAAAACTTGAGAATGTCACCTGTGAATGTACAGAAACACAGATGTAAAGGTGTTACTTTTTGGGGAAGCAATATACCTTTCCACATTCCACAAATTCAAAAGCCACCTTTAATATTTTACTAGCCAAATTGCTTTTTAGAGTTGAGACGAGCCTGGCCAGTTACCTGCCAAAGTGACTGCTAGAACAGTTCGTTTTTACAGCCACAGACAAACTTTACAAGCCTTTGGCTGCAAACACAGAGGTAATCTTCCTCACTATTATAAAAAACAAGCATGTCTGGCACAAGACTTCAAATCATGTGTATTAACAGCAGAAACCGATGCAAAAACAAAATACATGGGAAAGAACAATTTTTGCCTGGATTGACTGGCTTGTATAAATGTGTATATATTTGTGTAACGAACACTTAAGCACCTTAGAAGCAGTATTTTTTAATGGTTACATTAAATGCACACACCTCAATTTTTGTGACATATGTAAACAAATTTAATTTAACATTGGTTATCTGTTTTTCCAATACACATTTACTATCGTTTCCATCCTTTTACTGAAGTATTCTTTGTCTGCTGTATTTCATACATTGCCATGTTATGTTGTTCTCCAGTGTCACTACAAAAATAGCACAAACTATTCCTCTTGAAGGATTACATTTAAGGGAAACAAAGGTAGTTAGATTAATATAGCTGTTGATGGAGGAATTATATTTTGTATCTGACCAAAGAAAACTTTAACATGCTTTATACTTTATGCTCTGCGCTCTCGTGACTAGCTGATTTGTACTGCATCATGAGTCCCAAATAAAACTCTCCAAAGTTTCATAATTTATGTGAAGTGCAGAATTTCTTAAATATATGTACTAATTTCAGCTCCCTTCTCTTCTCTCGGGCTAATAGTTGCTACAGTGGGTTCGGCAGTGAGAAAAAGAGTTTTTCACTTCGGTGACCTGCGCTGGAAAGCTAAGAAAGCCAGTCCAAGTCAGCGGAGTGGCTGAGAGATAGCTTTGCATGGGGGCTAAGGCGACACTTTGCTGAGTGGCTTGTCACAACCTGCATTTATCTGACACACAGTCCAATTACTGTCCTCCTGCAGCAAGTGGCAGTATCATTGCCTCAGGCCGCCCACTAGCCTGAATTTCATTGGCTACCTCAAAGAAACAAAGGGATGATGGCACTGTGCAATTCGCGGCTGCTAATTAATTCTCTGGTGAGGATCTCATGCTCCTCTCCTGCCCATATGGTCATCTGGGTGAAGCTGATGAGCATGAATAGGTCCGCTGTGGGAGAGCAAACGAGTCATACTCTAACAGGCTGTGAAATATGACATAATATGTTTGTGTACTGCTGAATACTGAAAAGAGCTAACTTAGAGCACCTGGGGTTATTTATCAGAACCAAACCAAATATTGTCAATGTGCACACATTTATATGAACAACATTGTCGTTATATTAGGTTAAATCACAAGGGCACAAAATATTTGTAATTTGTGCATGCCACATAATGCCAAATGAGCAGTAGTGGAAGAAGTAAAGCATACCCATAACTGTTAAAACATACTTGCCTTCCTTTGTCAGATCCTTTAGTCCAAAGCAACACACAAAACCTCATCACAAGCATTCAATCCATGTAAGAGCAAGAGCTACTTATAATCCAAAATTGTATCCCTTCTAAACAAATAACAAAAAGCATGTTTAGTGTTTTTTTGTACAAAGGATAAATGGATTTTAATGAAAGCCAGCGCACAGACTCTGTAATATCAATCATACAGCAATCAAAGCTAAAATTAGCCACCATATGCCACTGCTCATGTGGCCTTACAAAGTTATAAACTAGCTAAAAGCTATAAACAGAAAAGTATTGATTGAATTGAACAAGATTTAATTGTGTTGCTTCTTTATTAAATTAAGGAAGAATGTGTTATTTTCTCCTGCGATGGACTGGCAACCTGTCCAGGGTGTACCCTGCCTTGTGCCCGATGTCAGCTGGGATTGGCTCCAGCCCCCCCGCGACCCTGTATGCAGGATAAGCGGTTGACGATGGATGGATGGATGGATGGATGGTGTTATTTTCTCTTTCAAAATTTAGGGAAATGCGCATGCTTTTTTCCAGAGACAGAGAGGACTGATTCCACCCCAGGAAATTAGCTGTAACTCCCCTAAAATCGCAAATTGTCACCATTATATTTCTACTTTTGCACTAATTAAACAAACAATTTATATTGTGGATATAAGCCACGTTTATCTACTTTATTTATATAGTCTTGGGTAGTTTGACATGTTTATGTATATATATACCCGCCAAATAATTGCAATGGAGTGACAAATACAATATTTCCCTTTGCAATGTGGTGGAGTATAGATATAAAGTAGCATACAATTTAAATACACAGCAGTGTACAATAACCTCAGTAAGTTTGCGATTGTTTTCCATGTGGCAAAAAACTATTCTACTGGAACTGTTCCAAAATTATTGTTGACTTCAGACTCCTTGGCTCTTATTGTTATAATTTGACATGTCTCCGTCACCTCTATCAGCTAAATGTGAAGTTAATTAAGTTTAATGAAATGTCAGCTTGACTGCCTGAATGTAGTGCAACAGCCACAAAAGTAAAGTGAAGTGAATGTGACCTTTGACTTTGAAAAATCAAAAACAAGCTACTGCACACTGATCTGACTTTACTGCATTTATTGAGAGCAATGCATTTCGCCCATTGCTTCTTCAGGCTCACACAGTGAAATTACAAAAACACTCACAGGTGTGCTAAGGTGTTATTAGTATCCCAACAGATCAAAAAACATAAAAAAATATATATTAATAGTGCTGAGCAACAATAAAAATGTTAAGCGTGATTAATTACATGATTTTCTTGCGATTAATCTCATTGTTACGCGCAAATGAATAATGAATTTGATTTAAATGTACTGCAAACACTTTAAAAAATAAGGTGCTTTTTACCAGCAGTATTCCCTTTAAAATATTTCTTGTCAACTTAAACATTAATGTAATCAAATAAAGTATAAAACCAAAGCTATTTGCCACTGCCAGGGCATTACCTGTTATCTAGCTTGTTAAAACAAGTTACCATCAGAGTTCAGTTTTCTTGTTTGAATCTATTCCTGTTTTACTAAATAGGACATCAACAGGAGGGAATTTGCATGGCAGAGCCGCAAAACTAGATGAAGGCAAAGTTATGTGTAACTTCAACATAAGTTAAATAGGCTACAGCTGTGTAGCGCACAGAAGCCGTTGCCATGGTTACTATTCATAGAGCGCCTGCCGTTTACTCGCGGAGCGCTTGTCTCCTGTTCACCTGACGAGCGCAGAGCAACCCCGCCGGGCCAAGCGACTATGTTGCAATTTTAAGAACGTTCCTAAGACCGACATCTTCCCCAATACTAATCAGCATGCAGTGTGTAGCTATCAACTTCGATATGACACTTGATCGCTTGTCTTGCTTATGTTTATCTACTTCTCCCACACGCTGCATCCAACGTAGTCTGCCGAATCCTCCCTCCGCTGCTTGTTTTGGTGGGTGATTTGCAGGCTGATCAACATCCCACCCCTCCTGTGACCCATGGTTTGACTAGCCTATGTATAGGACTATTCAGAGCCAGTGAGCAACAGACAAAATAATAATAATAAAAGCCACGTTAATGTGAGTTAAAATAATTGTCGGCAATTAATTAATGCCTTAACGCGATAATTAACTTGCCCTAATTTTTAACATACATAAGTCACAAGAATTACATCATTACAGGAATTCGTAAGTATCTCAAGGCAAATAACCTGAAGTTCCTACCTCTGTAATATAGGCTAGCCTACCCCTAAAGAGGAGGACAGGACACTCAGTATCTCAACTTTCCCTGAAGGTAAAACACACATCAGAGAAAGATATATAATCATCAACATCATCATAGGAATGAGCTGAAATCTAGTGTCTCATTAAGTCCATGAGGCTCAATCATGTTCAATTCATGAATCCAAATCCTTCTTAAAAGTTGGTTAATCAGGTTACCCCCTCTTGGATTAGGACTCAGTCTTTCAATGCCAAAACATTTAAGGGAAATAGCCAAACCATGGCTTTTCTCTTTATAATGTCTACCAATGGCATAATCCATGTTTCCATTTCTAATGGCTGCCTTATGCTCTGCCACTCTTACTTTAAGATTCCGTACAGTTTGGCCACATACAGTAGGCCACATGGACTCACATGGAGTCCATTTGGGGGGTAACCTGATTAACCAACTTTAAGAAGGGAGGGAGCCTGAAGAAGCAATGGGCAAAACATGTTGTTCACAATAAATGCAGTAAAGTCAGATCAGTGCGCAGTAGTTTGTTTTTGATTTTTCATAGTCTCAGCCTGATATCTACCAGCACCTGACTGTTGTTGCTATGCACGGGGAATTTCTTGTTTTGAATGTGACCTTTGTTTATTATACATGCAAATATTAGTTATTAATTTACTGCTGCAGTCTAAATTATTAAGACTTAAATTAACTGAAAACTCACAAGAGGTTCAGTCTCATACACTATTATACTGTAACACTGCAATAGATTTTGCCCAGAATATGAAATATGAACATATGCTGTAAAAGACAGGTAATCCTTTTTTTGCTGGCTTGTTATAAATCAGGTACTGAAATGCTGTTTTTAGATGAAAGATTTCATGCTCACCTGGTGGTGTACACAGTGGGTGATCAATGCAGCAGCAAATCCCCAGTGATAAAAGTGTTCTGCGAAGAAGAACGTGAAAGGTTTTTCTATTATTACTGTAATAATATCGAAACTCCCAGTCCACGTTTTGCTTTCATAATCAAATTGACAGAAACTCTTGAGTTCGCTTGTGCAGCTGTTATTTCTTCTTGAAGTCATAACTCTGAACACAAGACATGATACACATATTTTTAGATTCAGCGTGATTTGCATTATTCCGCTTAGAAATCATAGGAAAGGAGGAGCTTTTAACTCCAGACGTTGCCTGTGAATCATCACATTGTAAAGTTAAATCCAGTGCGAGTTGTCGTATGGCTGTGCATCGCTGCCACCATGACAAAAACTACTTGCTCAATTTCTTGTTTTTACAAGATCTGTTTCATGTTATTTCATTTTCATGACACATTTTTTACTAGATACCTAATTATTAATTTTGTCACAAGAAACCTTTATTATTATGACAACATACTGTATAACTTATAACTTATCGTATCACAAAATGATGATCGATGATCTATGTGGTAAGGTGTTATTAAGTATCATGACTGTGGGTTGATGTCGTCTTGTTTGTGCACCTATGTGTAATCACTGCGTGTAGATTTGGTCAGTACAGAGTTGGCATTCTGGAGAATCTGACAAGAAGGGAGATCTCTTTACCTCCCACCACCACCCCCGGACAGCACAAGATGATACAGATGATGGTGCCCTTAAATATGCATACCATTCAGTGCCTCGCTCTGAGCATAAAAGTAACCTCTGTCTAAGACCTACCTGCCCTTCCTGACCACATACTGTACCTCTTGGGGCTATATGCCTATGCTTCAATGTATGCAGTAAACTGAATAACCTAAAATATTCATTCCTGAGTACCTCGTATCCACCACCACCATCACCCCTCCACCTCCACCTGGACCAGAGACAAAACAGAGTTTAGGTTGTTGCATTCCCTACATGAGTAGTTTTACACATAGTTTTTAATCTGGACAAAACATTTAAACATTTAACTAATAACCCCTCTGAAAGTTGCCTGTAGGTGTGAATGTGATTATGAAAATGAGAAAAGAAGAAACAGCTTAATTAATGTTGCAGCCTCAGCTCAGCCCCAGAATAA